GTACACTGAGCTACACCAGCCAGGGCTGGTTGTTTTTATTTTGTGAGTCTTTATTCTGTGCGTACTTCATTTTGGATACTTTCTATTGCTATGTCTTCAATTCACTAACTTTTTTTTCTGCTGTCTCATTTGCTACCCATCCCAATCAGTGTATTTTTCATCTGGGGTATCATAGCTTTCACCTCTAGAGATTCCTTTGAATAAGGTTTCTTTCTATCTCAGCTGTCTCTACTTTATGTATTCAGTATTTCCTAAGTCTTTAAAAGTATAGAATACAGTTATCATAAATGTTTTAATATCCTTGTCTGCTAATTCTAACATCTATCATCAATGTCAGTCTTGGATTGGTTTCAGTTGCTTTTTCTCCCCATTATGTATGTATCATGTTTTCCTCCTTCTTTGGGTGCTTGGTTACATCTTGTTGGATGTTAGACATTATGAATTTTACCTTTTTAGATATTAGATATTTTATATTCCTTCAATTATGTATGAGCTTTGCCCTGAGACACAGTTAAACTACTTGGAAATAATTTATCCTTATAGAGCTTACTTTTAAAATTTGCTAGGCATTACTTAGTCTAGAGTGAATTATTCTCTACCACTAAGGCAAGACTTTTCTGGGTACTCTCATCATTCCCTATACTGGGTTTATGAGGTTCCCTATACTGGACAGTGGAAACAGGTGCTATTTAGGGCCCTTTGTGAGCTTTAGGTACTGTTTTCTTTCATTTCTTTTATATAGTTCTTTTTATGGCCAGGGTTGTTTTCTCCTATGCATGCACTATACTCAGCTGAAGACTTGAGGGCATCCCTCTGCAGGTCTCCATATTCTATTTCTCTGCTGCTCTGTTCTATTCAATACTGTGCCCTGAGAACCCGAGCCACCTTGCTTACCCTGGGCTCTTATCTCTGTGTTGTCAGCCCAGGAAGCCCACCAGGCTCTAACTAGGTTTCCCCCTCTCTGTGCCGTGACCTGGGAACTCTCCTGGGACATTAAGCTGGGCAGTTCTGGCTCGCCTTGTTTGCTGGGGATCGCTGTCCTCTGCCTGATAGCCAGTGTCTTGAAATACCATCATTTCACATGTGTTTTTTCAGTGTTTTAGTTGTTTCTGGTGGCAGGTAATATATTCGGTCCCTTTTACTCCATCTTGGCTGGAAGCAGAAGTCCATTCACTACAATTTTAAGATAAAGAAATTATTAATTATAGGTAGTTGTTTATTTATTTTAGTTTATGGCTTTTGCTTTGGTTTCTTGCTTTGCAATTAAATATTTATCTGTATCTATTCTAGAAGTTTCTGTGGTCTCATTCTTTACCTTGAAATACTTCTTTGGAGAATCACTTTAGTCTGTAGTATGACATAGTATCCTGTCTCCACCAAACAGTGATCCATAGTACCCAGCTTTATTCACATTGAAGCCAAAATATTCAAAAGTTTAAAATACACTTTAGTGATTGAAAAGATTTTAGTTCTCATAAATCTTGTTCATAGATCTTTCTGTTTTACCTAGAGAACATCTCATCATGTGCTTTTTTTTCCCCCTTTTGGCCTAGTTTCTAAATGGTATGTCTTTGGTTTAATCCATCGTTTCTCCTTCCTGCTCTCAAACCTAAGTAATGAAGGCAGCAGCACTTTCTGAACGGTACTTGTGTACTTTCGGTCACCTAACTGACGGACGACTAGATTTAACGTTCTATTGACATACTGACTATATGTTTAATTATTGGCGTAATTGGATTGACAAGGGGAGTGCCCAGGATTGATGGTATGCAGTGCTGCAGAGGGGAAAACTTTTTCCTTTTTAAAACTTTCAGGAGCTTCCCATTAGCCTTGATAAAGTCCAAATTTCTTAATATGGTTTAAAAGGCCTATTATGATTTCCTTGGATTAACACCAGCTTTATATTTTCTCCTCCCAAATCTCCCATACATTCATATTGAGTGAGCTCCTTTTAGTTTCCCTGAAAAGGCATGCTTTTTCGTATTCAAATAAAAATAGACTGGGTCGCCCTATTATACCCTGACATTAATTTTTTTTGCTTTTTTCTCATGACAATTATGACCATTTTGATATGTGTCATTTCAGTATCTCACCCCATTTGACACTACACCCCTGAAGGACTAGGGACCACATCTCATTCTGTCTTTAACCCCTGTTACAATGCCTGGTAAATACCAGGCATGCAATAAACATTTGTTGAATCAAGGAGAGAGTTGAGAGAATGGATGGATAGTTAGATCAATGACATAAATATGCTAATGTTTTAACTAGACTAACCATATGAAGTAATGTACATTGTCACCTATGGCTGCCATGTCACAATAGAAATGCACCTCTTAGCACAGTCAGTTTTACTTTTTAAAAAAAATTTAATTTTTAAATGTCTCCATTGAAAAGACTTTTTTCTTAATTTTCTGTTTATTTATTTTTAGGGAGGGAGGAAGAGAGGGAGAGAAACATTAATCTGTGGTTGTCTCTCGAGCACACCCCCCCATACTACATCTGGCCCAAAACCCAGGCATGTGCCCTGACAGGGAGTCAAACCTGCGACCCTTCTGTTCACAGGCCAGCGCTCAATCCACTGAGCCACACCAGCCAGGGCTAAAAAAATATTTTATTTATATATTTTTGAAGAGAGGGGAAAGGAAAGCAAAAGAGAGGGAGAGAAACATCTAGTATGAGAGAAACAAAGATTGGCTGCCTCTCGCATCACCCCAAGTAGGACCAAACCTGAAACCCAGGCACGACCCCTGACCTGGAATCAAACTGTGGAATTTCTGCTTTGCGGAAGGATGCCCAACCAACTAACTGAGCTATACTGGTCAGGGCTCAGTTCTACCTCAATTGGTGACCCTCTTTTTCTCTTCTTGAGTGAACCCCATTGGCTCATGTTTTGAAAAATACAGTTCTATTGACCAATAACCAAATTTCTAGCATAGTTATTTGGTGGATCAAGGAAGAAACACAGGCTATTTTGTGATAAGTTCAGATGTTGGAATGAATGATCCTCAGGAATTGAGGGGCAAGATTTATAATAAAAATATGGATGAAAGTTAATATTTCAATATTTTTTCAAAAAATAAAGAAAATGTCCCTGGCTGGTATAGCTCAGTGGATTGAGCGCGGGCTGGGAACCCGGTGTCCCAGGTTCGATTCCCGGCCAGGGTACATTCCTGGGTTGCAGGCCATAACCCCCAGCAACCTCACATTGATGTTTCTCTCTCTCTCTCTCTCTCTCTCTCTCTCTCCCCTCCCTCCCTCTCTCTCTCTCTCTCCTCCTCCCTCCCTTCCCTCTCTAAAAAAAATAAATAAATAAAATAATAATAATAAAAAAATAAATAAAATAAAATAAAGAAAATGTATCTATACCAAATAAGGGTAACTGTTACAATCAACATGTAAACAGTCAAAATGATGCCCTTTTAAATAGAAACTTTGAACTCAGAATATTTTGTAAAGCAGCAGAGTAACCTGCCCCTTTAAGTGAACACTTAAGTCTCTAAACCATAGCACTTCTTCCAGTGGTTCATAAAGAGTTCTTTAATTGCCTGTTCTACTATATGTATATATTGCATTTTAATTACAAGCATGGGCTTAGCCATTAGATCAGGGTTTGAGTCCCAGTTCTGACAAATACTTGCCTCCTGACCATGGAGAAGTAGTTTCACCTCTTAATCGTAGTTTGTTCCATAAAAATCAAAATAATAATGTCCTGTGTTATGGTTTGTTGTAGAAACTAAAGGAGATAATATATGTGTGTGGTATTTAGTGTTGCCTGACACACAGTAAGGCTTAACTAATGTTAGCTGTTATTATTTCAATATTAATTAGACCAAAATGCTTTTTAAACAGATTTATTGAGGTATAATTTTTATACCATACAATTTACCCATTTAAAGTGGGTTTTGGTATATTAACAGTTGTGCTACCATTACCACAATTTTAGAACATTTTCATCACCCTCTAATGCCCATACGCTAGCCATCTCCACAAACCATTCTTCTTCTCAGCCCTAGGTAACCAATAATCTACTTTATCTCTACAGATTTACTTATTCTGGATATATGTTATAAATGGAATTATACATTATATGATCTTTTGGGACTGGCTTCTTTCACTTAGCATGTTTACAGGACTCATCCATGTTGGAGCATGTATTAGTACTTCATTTGTTTTTATGGCTATATAATATCCCATTATATAGATAGAGCACATTTTGTTTATCCATTCACCAAACAGACGTTTGGGTTGTTCCCATTTTCTGGCTCTAATGAATAATGCTGCTATAAATATCCATGCACAAGTTTTTGTGTGGTCATATGTTTTCATTTCTCTTAGCTATATACCAAGAAGTAGGATATCTGGGTCAGATGGCAGCTTACGTTTGAATATTTGATGAACTGCCCATCTGTTTCCAAAAATGGCTGCACTATTTTACATTCCCACGAGCAGTGTTGGCGAGCTCCGATTTCTCCACATTCTTACTGATACTTATTATCGGACTTTTTAAAGATTTTATTTGTTTATTTTTAGAAAGAGGGGAAGAGAGAAGAATGAGAAGGGGAGAAACATCAATTAGTTGACTCTCGCACACGCCCCGAACAGGGACAGAACCCACAACCCACACGTGTGCCTTGACCAAAAATCGAACCTGCAAATTTTCACTTTGCAGAACGATGCTCAACCAACTGAATCACTATAGTCAGGTCTATTGTCTGACTTTTTGAAAATAGCCATACAGGCGAGTGTGAAATGGTATCTCATTGTTTTAATTTTACTTCTCTAATGACTAATGGTATAGAGTGTTTTTTCATGCCCTAGTGGACAATTGCATATTTTTGAAGAAATGTCTGTTCAAATCCTTTGCCAGTTTCTCTTTTGGGTTATTTGTTCTTTATTATGGAGTTTTAAGACCATTATAGTTTTTTTATATCAATTTGTATTGCCACCAAACAAAATGTGTTAGAAATAAGTTACTGTCAAACTTAATTTTTCTACAGGCACTAAAAATTTACCCCCCAAAAATTGTCAATGACAGATAAAGCTGACTGGGATATCAAAAGCAAAACATTTGCAATTACTGGTCATCATGCCGAAAGGGTTGCCAAAGGACCCAGAGATTGCTGACCTGTTCTACAAAGATGATCCTGAAGAACTTTTTATTGGTTTACACGAGATTGGACATGGAAGTTTTGGAGCAGTTTATTTTGTAAGTAATTGGAAAGAATCATTTAGATAGATCAGATTAAGAAAGTTTGATTTGTACACATTCTATTACTTGTAAAATACACTTGGCTTTGATGTTTATTCTACAAATTTAGTGTTATTTACAGTAGGGGCAAATAGTCATCGCTGAAAAGCCAGTCCCAGAATTCTAGGCATTATTCAAGTCAATGGTATCCCCAAGAACTGGCTCTGTTTTCAGGGTAGTATGTACAAGTCGTAAACTTGAAGTTGAGCCCCACGCATTTCCACTTGTATGCCAGGCTTTTCTGCCTTAGGGCCTTTAGATATGCTTCTACCTAGGGAACTCTGCGTATTACATCCCGATGCCTAACTCTTGTCCTACGTATTTCATCTTAAGTGTTATGTCCACAAGATAGTCTTTCCTGTTCAACCCTCCAGCATTAATTTAAGACTTTTTTATGATCTCCTAACACCCTGTGCTTGCACTTTGTTGCATTTGCCACCATTGTAATTAAATAACATGTGAGATTTTCGACTCATGTATATCCCCTCCGCCTTAAATAATAAGCTCCATGAAGACAGGAATGTCTGTCTTGTTCATTGCTGTATTCTCAGTAACTGGTATAATGTCTGACAATAGTAGGTACTCAGTAAATGACAGACAGGTACATGGATGGTGGATGGACAATGAATGGCTCTTCAGACAGATGGATTGACAAAGATTTTTAGTAACACTCATGTCAAGGCAATATTTTAGATCTAAGGCTTAGGCCGCTAAAGTCAGTTTGTATTCCAAGGATGTGACTACCTTCTAATGAGAATGAGAACTGACTGAAATGGTAACATAGCTCATTCACCTGAAATTCATTACATAATGTATATAGATAGCCTTTGAAGTTTGCTTTACCAAAGTCACAAATGTTTCCTTATGAGTACTAGCCTATTAAAGCGGATAATATTGAAGTACTGATTATTACCTGTTTCTCCCCCAATCCTGTTATCAAATTTTTTTTTCTTAAACAATATTTGACTTTTCCTTTTAAGTGGTCCTTTGCGTACAGCCATCCTGGTAGGGCTTATCTTAGTTGTTCTTCCAAATGAGATTTTATTAATCGTCCCTTTAGATCATCCTGTTGTTTCTAGCCAAGTCTGCAGCCTGGGTTTTCTCTGGTCTTTCTCCCTTCGTGCCTAAGATCAGCACTTACCACCCCTTCTCCTTCGCCTCCCCGAGCAACACTTGGCTTCCACTCAAGTACATTTAATCATTAACTGACCTTCCATTGCTCAAGAGGGTACTTAGAATAGTATTTAAGGCCCAGTCGAAGTTCTGTCTTTCTCATTCACAGAGATACTAAAAAAAAAAAAAAAAAGATTTTGGCTGGCCAGGTAGCATTGGTTAGAGCATTGTCCGGCCACACCAAGGTTGCCAGTTCAATCTTCCATCAGGGCACAGACAAGAATCAACTGATAATAGATAAATCAGTGGAACAACAATCAATGTTTCTCTGCACTGTGGCCAGGTAGAAACAAGGTGCCAGGCCAGATAAAATAAGGTGGAGGGCCTTGTGTTTGCCACCTGTGCTCTACAGATTATTACTAACATATATTCTGGAATAAAATTGTTAATAACTTTTTCTACACATATACCTACATTATTACTATTTTGGAAAAATGAAATCATGCCATGGAGCTTTTTTTAATCATGATATTTTTGACATCTTTTTATATTACTGTATATACAAATAGATGATCTCATTCTTTTAATGGTTATTTTATTATTATAACTGTACCATATTTATTTAACTGGTTCTCTATTAATGCTGGTTCTCTATTATGATAAGGAAGTTCCTTATCATAAAGCCAGCATGGGTGTTTTGGAAATATGACTTGTTTCTGGTTGATTGGATTTATTTTGTTAAAACTTTTTAAAATAATGTAAACTTTGCATATATATATAGAAAGGGTCAAAGAGAAGCTGTTCTTTAAAGTGGGATGGAAATGTCTACCTAGTCAAAGTTCTGTCTTTCTCATATCCTGTTAAAAGTTGGGATATCTGTAAATTGTGGTAATGAAGTGTGAGAATGTTATTTAAAGTCTCTAGTCAAATACTTAAGTTAAACTGTCTGACACATCATTCTTTTTATTTTATTTCACCAAATTAACACAGGCCACGAATGCTCACACCAATGAGGTGGTGGCAGTTAAGAAAATGTCTTATAGTGGGAAGCAGGCACATGAGGTAAGTTAAAGACAGTTGTATACCTAAGCTGTCATAAGCAAATTAACATGAAATTGACAGGAGAAATAAAGTTCTTTGGAACATTATTTTTCATAGTTCTTTTTTTTTTTGCCTCTTTGTGGAGCATACAATAAACATTCCTAATATTCTAACTTGATCAACTATTTTGTGGATTAGATGAGTTAGTATAATATATTTAAATAGGTACTTGGTGATAAATTTACATTACATGTATTCAAACTAAAGAAATGACACAAGATTAAATAACTTCTTCATTTATTAAACATTTACTTTATCCATTTAAAAAATAAAAAGAACATGACATATGTGCACTTGATAATAAAATACTATTTTCAGCTTTAGAATGATAACTTTTTTTTCTGACTTCAATAGAAATGGCAAGATATTCTTAAGGAAGTCAAATTTTTACAACAGTTGAAGCATCCTAACACCATTGAGTACAAAGGTTGTTACTTGAAAGAGCACACTGCTTGGGTAAGTCCAAGGACCTCTACCATCTATTTTTTTTCTATTAAATTTTTTCTAGTTTTCTCTGTTATCTCTTTGCTCTATAAAATTATCAGTCCCATTTTTGTCCCACTTCATATTTGTTAATGCCTTAGAGTATGCCATGCGCTGTACACTTATATTCCATAAGAATGATACCTAGCCTATGGGAACTTGCATTCTATAAACATTCATTGAAGAAATGGTGAAAAGTTAACATGATTTTATAATCACTTATTTATGAAAGTAAAGGGCAGGGCCTTCTATTCTCATCCTAGAATTTTGTCTTTGATGATTTCCATTGCCATTCCAATCCCTGCACGGTTCAGAGTTGTGCTTGGCATTGCAATGCCTAAATTGTGCCAAATAGGGCCTAGAAATGATTAAAATGAAAGTCTTTTGTTCCACTCTATCTTCTTAATATATTTTTACATGATCGTGTTTCTGTTGGGCACGGTTTAGTACATGAAACTTTGTGTTTTGTACTTATTCAGATTGTACATTCCAAATTAAACTCCAATTTAACTATCATTTGTTGAGTCCTTACCATGGACTATGTCCTTTTCTTGTACATGAGCTCCACTTAGGGAATTGAATACTTCTTCCCAGATAGACTATCAAACATCATACTTAAACATTTCTGTTCAGGTAACTCTTAAGATATCTAGAGCTATTGTTTGTGTTCTGAGAATAAATTAATCGGAGGAGTATCTTATTACCCAAAATCAGTTCTCTGGAAATCTCAACTATCTTGAAGGAGTCAAGAAAGGGATTTTGAGCCGGCAGAATGAGTGTTACAAAATCAAGTGTTCAATCTTCTGTGTTCCAGTCTTCAGAAAAATCCTTGCACCTCTTACTTGAAGCCTATTTATTCTTAGATTACGTAGAGCTCTAATAAGCTGGGTCACCTGGTGTCTGTCTACAGCAGATTTGATAGCTTTAGGACCTCAGCTGCTGGAGACACACACAAACAGCTCAAGGCTAATTTGACCACAGGAAGAAGCTGGGAAAGCTAGAATGCAGACCGACTCATGGAAAAGCAGCAACTGGAGATCTTTAGTGTCAGGAGCAAACAGCCAGCCATGGCTCTGGTGCACTTATGTTATGGAATAACAAGGAAAAGAATGTTTGTAATAAAGTATGGAGTTGTTTAAATGCTTACACGTTGTATTAAATTGGTTTTCTCATGTTTAAAAAAAGAAAAAAATTAGAAAAGTATATGATATAATTGAGAAATGTTTCCATCAAAATTCATTAAAGAAAAAAAGTGTTTTTCAATTGTACCTTGATAAAGCTAAAAAAAAACAGTGCACATAAAAGGCTGCTATTCATTATAAGAATCACTTGTGTGGAATCTTTCATTTCATAATAAGAAATAAAATTAACGTTTATAAATTTGCTTACTTTTAGTGTTAAGCAGAAAACTATAATAAAGTTTCTCAACTTTAAACTTTGAAGCTTCTCATACTGTTCTAAATGTTTCCAGTAATACAACAATTTTTAAATATTTATATATTTAATATTGTATATAATTTAATAATTTAGATATATCAGTATATAACTTGGTCATTATATAATATATTATATATGACATACATTCCTGTATATATTATATACCCTGCATTGCATTATTTCTGGAATAATTTAGAAAAATATAAAATACATTCAACGTACATGTATGTTACATATTATACATAATTATATATTGTATAATAGAAATGTGATGTATAATATTGATTATATATTAATATTTCTATATCTCATATCTACTGAGTTTTTTGATAACACAACTTACATAACATATAGATATATGTTTTCATACTAATTTTTTAATGGAAGAAATCAGTATATTCATATTGGTTATATCTAGGTGATTATAGGAAATTTCTATTTTATAATGAGCATCTGGTTTTTTTAGAACAACCAAATAATCTGTAGGAGTGCGTGTGCTTGTGTATGCATGTGGACACCGGTCACTGAGCACTCACACTTCTGACAATGGCTCAAATTAGTAGTCTGCAACACCTAAACAAATCAAAGACAAAAGTAAAGAAAGAGTTTTCTCATTTCCTCTTTTAAAAAAGCTTTCAAGATTGCAAGCCCAATAAATATCAATAATATTTTAATAATATTATTTTCAAATTATTTTAAGGTATAAATTTTAATAGCTCATACCTCAGGAATTCAACCTAATGTAATGATGCTAGAGGCTACATCCTCTGATTGAGTTCTAACCTATACGTATTTTTTTAACGAAGGCATAAGTAAATGATCTTGTTGCCATGATCTTGATGCAAAACTAAACAATATTTTCTTGTTTAGCACTCTTTCAATGAGAAAATAAGGAATTTTCTACTTATTATTTGTTTATTTTATTTGTATTTCCCAGTATAGATTTTACTGGCTTATGTATTTGGTTGCCACATTCCAAGTTATAAAATTTAATTTGTATTGGATACTAAGCCACCTTAAATCCCTTTTTGAAACAAGATGATGTAGAATTTAGTAGTAAATAAATAAGATGGAGATCTCAGCTTGACCATTTCCAGTATTTCCATACCCAGTCCCCTTAGATCTTAGATTAAAATAATCTTAGATTAATTTCAGTTCCAAGTAGGAGCTAACAAAAACAAATGATAAAAGCCAATCAGTGCCAGTTGACCAAAATTTAATCCAGAGGAGGTAGGTCACAATATTTATTTTTCTAGTATTCTTAAGTCCTGGGTTGGTCATGTGGTTTCTCATCAACCTTCATTGTTCTGCAAACGATTTTAATCTCTTACAGTTGGTGATGGAGTATTGCTTAGGCTCAGCCTCTGACTTGTTAGAAGGTAAGAGTCAAAACACTGCCCCTTCCTTTCTGTGGTACCTTGGCCAGAATGTTATCTACTCTTAAATTAAAGTGCAATTTGGACAAACTAAATGGATGATGACTTAGACTTAAGGGTTGTGTGGATAAGCTACGCAAACTTTATAGTGTCACTGAAAGTATCTGAGCGATGATTAGCAGCCTTTCTTCTGTTTTGTTTAGTTCATGGCCCATCCTGGGTAAGTACTACTAAAATGTTCGGCTAATGGGATGTAGTATGTGCAGCCCAAAACATCAATTTATCTTTATGTATGAAAGAGAGGTAGATGGTATTAAATTAAATGTTGATATTTAATCCTTTCAAATATTTTCACTGACCCAGTTCTCCACGGATGCTGCTATAACCAGAGACGGTGTTAAAAATTTGCATTAAAAACTTTTCTTATATTATCCTTGATCTTTGTATAGAAATTGCTTATTAGCTGGTTTCACAAATAATGAATACCGGTAGTTAGAGGAGTAATATAATAATATTCTCCCTGGCAGAGGAGAATAATGCCACCTAAAATACCCCAGGGTTTAAAACATCCATAAGAGACTGGTAAATTTGGGCCTGGCCAATTGACTTCCAAGTGACAAGTAAATTAACAATTCATTACCATGAATATCAGGCTTTGTTTTATTTTGTTCAGAGGGGTTAGTTTGTTTTTATTCTTGGGTTTTCTGATATCTGGTTATTTATTGCTATTCTATAGAAAAGATGTATCCTATGTATTTAGATGAACATGTTCCCAATTTGTCATTTGAGAAAGTCTATAATTCAATCTAGTATAGCTGTATAAGATAAAAAGAGACATGAAACTGATCATCTACTCCTGAAATTTTTTTTCCTTCCTCAGTTCATAAGAAACCACTTCAGGAAGTAGAGATCGCCGCCATTACTCACGGTGCCTTGCATGGGCTAGCCTACCTACATTCTCATGCATTGATTCATAGGTAAGACTAGAGACCGGTTACATTCTCATTTCAGCTATAGGACCATCTATTCAATGAAGCTTGAAAATTAGTGCATGCTCCAGTTTTTGGGATGCCTACGGATTTATGGGAAGCAAATATAGACTGTTGCTACTTCTGGATGTAAGGAATAAAATTGCCAGAATTTATTTCCTATCTCTTGGTTGCAACCATAAATCCATAAAGACTTAAATCATCTCTATCCTATAGGTAACTGTTCTGCAGGGAGGGTGTTGCAGGGAAATTGGAAGAACAGCTCAGTAGCCTTTTTTGATACTGCATCCAGAAGAAAAGGAAAGAAAATTAGCCTACCTTGCATATATTTATTTCCTAGCTCCACTTCTCCCCTTCCTATTACAAATAACAAATCTATCTTACATAAATAAACTGGTATGCTGTTTTATCACTTTGAAATGTCTTCTGTTTCTGTAATTTGTATAGATATTTAGGATAATATTATTTTATTATCTTTATTTTGGCAGATGAAGGAACCAGGACTCAGAAAGATTTAAATAACTTGTCCATAGTTTGATAGCATTTATGTAATAAAGATTAAAACTCACGTTTCCTGACTCCTAATCCATGGCTTTCCCCTGCCTTATATTTTTTTCTGCTACGACCCCACTCTACTTCCCACCTCTAACTTCTAAACAAAGATGTTGTTCCTAATCTTTCCCTTGCTCTGCAAAGAACTTCTAGCTATTTCAACACATGGTGCAAAAGTAGTGGAATGAGGTAGGTTTAAAGGATCTGAGGTGACTCAAAAACAAACACTTTGGCATTTGCTAGGAAGATATGAAACTATTAGGTCATAGGTTCCCCTTTTACTTCTGTTTTAATCACATAAGAGTAGCTATCACAAGTTACTGGCATGAAAAAAGCAGAACTTCCTCGAGATAGGCAAACCAAAATTCCTGCTGTGAACTTGGCTTATTTATAAGGACTAAGAATAAACCTAACCATGTATAATAAATATTGATGAAAGAAATTGAGCCATAATTTCTATGGACTTGACACCTTTTAAAAAATGTGTCTCTTTAGTATCAAGATGTCATTACTGAATACCAACTTTATAATTTTTGCCTGTTCCTATTAAAGCCACAGTTCAATTTTTGTGCCTTTGTTATCTTAATCTGCACATTAATGTGTTACTCTATATTATATATACTTTAACTTTTTTAATATGTAAAAGAAGTCAAAAAGCCAAAAAACTTTTAAAGAATGTTCTTTATTTAATAATAAATGCTATCTATGTCTCAGATTTTATTATTTTGATTTGAGAGGATAGTTAGTCAATGTTGTAATTGAAGATAATAGAAAAAAGATTTTTTCTTATTGTAAGAAAATAAATAATGCTTTTTTTTAGTTCTCTCTGCCAATTCCTAATGTCATCATGAGGAAAGAAACTGAATTTTCAAGGGAAGATTTTTGGAAACGTTTTGGAAGTATTTGAATCTTATCATTTTCAATTTGACATAAATTTGCCTCATTCTCCCTGCTTTATCTTTTCACTGCCCATCAACTTGCAATTCTTGGTTCCTAGTACTCATTGTACATCATCCCTTTTTTTAAAGAAAATAAGGAATACATTCACATCTTCTCATTTTAAATTATCATACTGAAGAATGAATTTTTAAAATCATATTTTTAAATCTTTTTGCTGCATAAAATATCTAATAGCTTTAGTAATAACCATTTGTGATTCTTTGCACTAATAGATTAAGTACAATTTCCTAACCCCTAATCCTTGTTTGTTTTGATCTTTCAGGCTCTTCTTTTTACTGTACAGTGTTATTTTTAAAATAACACCTTCTATATAACATGTACCCTCAAATGCCTTAGAGTTGCAGTTACAATTTAAGGCAGAGAGAAAGGGTCACAGGCAAGAAAGAAAAGGTATGTGTGTAGAGGAGGTTTATTGGTAGGTAGTCCATATAGAGTCATTGAAGGTTTGTTAGGCTCCAAAAAAAATATCATGTAATTTGGAAAAGAAAAAAAAAAAAGGCAGTTACAAACAGCACCGATTTTCCCAGTACAAGCAATACTGTTGATGACTGGATTTAGTGCCTTAGAATATGATTTTGTAAGTTTAGCAACTGAATAAGTTTCCTTGTCCGCCATGTCTGCCTTTTTCTCAGTGCCTTCCCTCTCTCTAAAGAAATCTCTACCTTTTAGTGTAATTACTATGACCTACCTATAAGTACACCCAGGAATCTGGGCCCCCTTACAACATGCAGTAATTACTAAATGCCCTTCTGGCTATCTGAGCAAGGTTTTTTAAAATAAACTTTTTGTCTTATTAATTGCATGCTCTGACCTTATTCCATAATCAAAATTGAAAAGTAATTTCCTCACCCTCCTATTTTTTTTTTCCTACAGGGATATTAAAGCAGGAAATATTCTCCTAACAGAGCCAGGTCAGGTGAAACTAGCTGATTTTGGATCTGCCTCCATGGCTTCTCCTGCCAACTCCTTTGTGGGCACACCTTACTGGTATGTACAATTAGAAAACATGACATGGTTTTAAAAATATGCATATGCGAACAAGGTTTTGTTTTGTTTTGTTTTGTTTTGACAGCGTCTCACCGTGTCTCTTAAAATGCGATTTTATTAGAGAAGGATAGAAAACTCACTAGCAAAAAGAAACACCCTTAGTATAAAATTTCCAGTGACTTTAAATTGTTCAAATAAGGTTGATGTCACTGTGTGTAAACTGAGCAGGATTATCAACACACTGTCCAAGCTCAGGTTTTAGATTCCACTTATAAAGTTTCTTTTCAACTTTTCTCTTGAGGCAGAGTCTCTAGGCAAGGACGGAGCTTCTTTAACCTCCTCTAGCCAATGAGTGTAAACACTGTCGTCCAATGAAAGAAGCCCAGGTCCTTGTCTTTGTGGTGTTCTCTGGTACTTTGCCTGGCTTACCGTTCTCAGTTTTACCCCATTCCATTCAGGATTCCTTTCCTTCCCTTCATAGATACATTGGAATTTTATTATACCTTGGAGAATGACATATCCCTGGAAATTTACTTACCTACTAGAAATATCAGCTATTTGAAATGTTTTCATCATTATGAAATAGCATTTACTAAGCAACTAATAGAGAACAAAGAATATTACGCTGATAGGACCCCTGCCCTCCTAATGCAATCCATTATGAACTAACAAAGGAACATCCACAGCATGTCTGTCTGTCTGTCGGTTTGCTTGTTTTTAAGTCATAATATCTTTAAATGTTTTTCATGTTTCTCAAAGTAATTCACTTGTTTAAGTGTTTCATACGTATTAATCCTTTATAAATCCTTCTGAGGTAGCTACTAGGATTCTCTCCGTTTTTATAGATGAAGAAACTGATAAACAGAAAGGTTAAGTTACTTACAGAAAATCAAATAGGGAAATAGTGGAACCAGGGTTTATTGAAAATAATGTACTGTTTCATCTAAATCAGTAAATATGTTATTTACATTTTGAATAGTGTTTTTTCCCAAATGATTTGTGTAAGGAAGTAATCTCTTTATCAGATAAAATTATATGGTGCCCTCAAAAACAGTTATTACATTGAGTCACTTTATTAGGCGGATTACTTTTTAGTTTACAACCTGGCTTTTGCATGTTATGTTTGGCAGGATGGCTCCAGAGGTGATCTTAGCTATGGACGAAGGCCAGTATGATGGGAAAGTTGATATTTGGTCACTTGGGATCACCTGTATTGAAATGGGTGAGTAAAGAGTTTTATTGTATTTTTGAGACTCACTTCCTATTATGATTGTTAATTCATTCATCCAGCCGTAATGAGCTATTTTTCTAGTAGTAATCTTTTCTATCATAAAAAACCACATACATCAGCTGCCATATCTGCTCAAACTTTGACCTAAATTAATAACTTGAAAATATAGGTTTTGCAGGCCACACATTTTTCTATCATAGATACTCAACTCTGCTGCAAAGCATGAAAGCAGCCATAGGCAACATGGGTGTGGCTGTGTTCCAATAGAATTTTAAGAAAATGGGCTGCTATGTGAGTTTGGCCTATCGTTTGCCAACCCTTGCTCTATAGTACTCTGGATTAGCAATGAGTCCTGTCACCATGACTCAGAGGATTTATGTACTGCATCTGGCAAGGGACTTGAACCTACATGAGACCATCTGAAATTAATATTTAGCGAGAGCTTCCCAGAAACTAGTATTTAGCAAAAGCTTCCCAGACCATAGAGCTGTGCTGTGTTGGTAATACCTCTAGTCGCATGCTTCTCTCTATTAGACTTATTCTACCATCGTGTGGTCAGCTATCTTCTGTCTTATTTAGGACACAGTACCTGTTCCTTACAGGTGCTCCTCATTCCTGCCTCGGATCTCAGCCACACCACACGGGGTTTTGCAGTTCTTCCTGTCAGTTCACTTCCTCTTGCTAAATGTCTGTTTTCTCCTTTCTTTGGTCCCCTTTTCCTGCAGTTTCTGTACAATGTAATGTTCTTCTGAACAGCTTGAATTTTATATTTTTGCCGGTAAATGAGAGGGCTCCTCTCCTTCTGATAGTGAAGGAAGTCATCCCATAGTATCTGACGTAAGCCCCCAAAATCAGTCTCTTCTCAGTCACTTTGTGACATTACGCCACACAAAGATCCTTTGTTAATGAAGTTTCTTCTTTCCTTAGTTTGCCTTATCTTCATTTACTCACTTTATAGTTATTTTTAGCCACTGAAAATAACTACCAGGCCCTGTGTGCAGCTCTGGAAATGCAGAGATGAACATAAAAGACATTGTCCCTGCCCTCCTGAAATTAAGCAAAGATGACACATGTTATATAAAGAATTACACAAATAATTGACTATGGTCGTGATAGTGGTAGAAAGGAAAATGTAATTTGGAATGACAAAAATCTAATGGGAGACCTAGTCTAAGAGGTCAGGAAAGCCTTTCCTGAGGAAGTTAGTTATTTTAAGCATGTAATGAGCCTGGAGTAAATATTTATTGAATTAATGCAGAAATGAAATTGTATTTAAGATAAAGCCTGAAGGTTTGGCAAGAATTAACCAGATAAAGTTTAGGGGATGAAAGTGAAAGAGGGGTCCAGACAGAGAAAGCAGCTTGTGTGAGAGGCTGTGAGCTTGGTCCCTTCAGTGGGGCAAAAGATGGCGGTGGGGGAGGGGGCGGAGATCGCTCCCCAGACTGAAGAGCGAGAGCTTGCCAGGGTCAGGTTAGCAAAGGCCAATAGGCTCTGTTTAAGGATCTGACCTTTGTCCTAAGAACGATGGGAGGCCATTGATGGATACATGATCTGTTCCTCGTTCCACATGGCTTTAAATACTTGAAGTTTTCAGAAGGCCAAGCTCTAGAAACTTTATAGAGTCTACCTCCTGAAAAATAAAACAAACCTAATCCAGTAATTTCTTCTATGCATTAGAAACAGATATAAATTCATGTGTCCTCACTGCAACTTTCCAGCTTCCACTTGTTAACAGTTCATGTGCCTGTAATACTGGTAGCTATTTAGTGAGTATAAACTGTCCTGTTGAGAAGTTAATAAATATTTGTAGAATCACAGATACCTTCAAAGGTATCAGGGATCATTCAGTCGAGACTGCAGGAGGCCCCTCCAACGCATCACAGATGAATAAGTGAAGTTGCCTTCTGCTTGAGCACTGCCAATAACTTCAAGTTTACTACTCCCAACAGTTTTCATGTCAAGTTAGGAGAAGGGTGTTTTGTTTTGTACCACTCCAGCTTTTCACTGGTTCTTCCTTCCATGCATAAGAATGTCTTCTTTGTTCCGCTCTTAGTTCTTGTTCTGTTTCTTAGAATTGCATAGAATAAGCGCAATTTACCATTTTAAAAGTGCTTAATAAAAGAATCTTTACTTAAAAACCAAGATGCTCTGATGAAACCGGAGATCAGATTATGAATTACAAACTGGGACTGTATAAAGAATCCATTAGGATAAGCATGGCAGAATGAGATAGTGATTTATCTCCTATGACATACTAACTAATAAATAGCATAAAATTAACTGTACTCAGAGCTAGAACCTTGTTTCTTTCCTTTGGTCAACAAATGGAGCACCCAATATGTGAACAGAATCTTAATACATATTCTCGGGGCATAAACAATAAGAATATTTGAGTTATAAGCTCTCGCTCTTAGAACTTATGATTGTCTTTAAAAGAAAAGATTAATGTGTTTCTGTAAATGCAGCAGTGAACACATGTCAAATGAGCTGTAAACTAAAAGAGAGCTATCGGAACTCCAAAGAAGAGACCGTGGTGGGCTGGGGTAGACTGAATCTTCCATTCATAGTTGCTTCACTGGATTTCTCTTTAGAATGGGATGGACCAAGCCTTGTTTATTACTTCTCCTCTTCCTCCTTCCCATTTCCTCCACCCCCACCCATACCGTTCTCTAGCCTGGATAATCCTTCAGTGTTTCTTGAACTGGACTATGTCCCATACTGTGTTAGTGATGTCTAAGATGTTCCATTTTATAATTTTTTTTACTTTACTTTTCTGTGCTTTCTGAATTTTTTCAACGAATACACATTTTCAAATTAAAACACATACACATGAAGATGTTAACATAAGAACATCCAAACCTATAGAAAAATTTTATGAGTTTATTAGAACCAAACTGAGGACATGCCCAGAAGCAAAATCTCAATGGATCAAGAAAATGCTCCAGAGAATGGCAGTTTGGCAGTTCTTATTATACATTTAGAATCAAAGGGGAAAACATAAAGAAGGTTACATGAAATCCCTTGGGTGGTAGATTAAGGAGGCAAGAGAAAGCAAAGCAGGGAAATCTCTAGGATTGGATAAAAAGCAAAATGGAGACACGCATACTTCTTTTACATTGGTGGTTATAGGATGGTTAATATTTAACATTTACAGTAAATAAAGGTGGTGTAGGGGCAGTAGTATAACACTGAAGAGTTTTGGTGCACCTACTCCTGTGACAGTGATAGCAACCTAGTTTCACAAGAACAATTGACAGGGCTCACTTTAAAAAAAAAAAAGATTTTATTGATTTATTTTTGGAAAGGGGGGAGGGAGTAAGGAAGATAGGTAGAGAAGCAGCAAGAGACACGTATCAGTTACCTCTCGCATGCTCACAAATGGAGACCTGTCCTGCAAACCAGGCATGTGACCTTCCAGTTTGCAGGCTGGTGCTCAGTCCACTGAGCCACACCAGCCAGGGCAATGGGGCTCACTTAAGGCAAGTAGCCTTTTACTAAGGCAGCTGTAAGCCTGAGACCTGACTACCTACCGTGCCCCGCCCAGGTAGTAATGTGCGCTCAGATCATCATTGTGTGTGCTAACTTGTGTGTGTGGTCAGTGAGCTTGTCAGGCCTGCCACATAGCCCCCTGAACTTGTCAGGTTTTCCACACAGCCCTTTTCCGTTCATGATGTTCATACCTAGTAAGAGAAGATAGGCAAAGACTAGCCTTTTGAAGATATGTGAAAAACATTACATTTTTCTTTCAATTTCTTGAAATCGGTCTATTAGGAGCTTTGCCAATGTACATTAAGATGACCAGCAGCTTCTTTTGAATGGCTATTCTGGGCTGTCCTAAGAAATTAAAATAAGTGGATTATGTGGCCTGATGACAGTAACAAGCTATTGGTTTAGCAGCAATGCTTTGCCCATAGTTCCTTATTTTTCTGTCTGCCTGATTTCTTTCAATAACTGCTTTATTGTGTTTCTTTTCTTTTCAGCTGAACGGAAGCCCCCTCTTTTTAACATGAATGCAATGAGTGCCTTATATCACATTGCCCAGAATGACTCCCCAACATTACAGTCTAATGAATGGTAAGACTCCGTTATAATTTTAAATCTCTAATATAATCACCATATGTATTTGGAACTTCCATTAAATTTTATTTTAAATATCTGACCTGGAAAGCATTCCATTTCTTCACCATACATTATAAAGAGTGACGGTGGCATTAACTGTCCACACACACACATTTTGTTTCGGCCCTTGCTATGGCCTGTATTGTGTTCTTAACATGTGTAGTAACCGAAATTCTACAGGAAACATGCCCCGCCCCCTTCCTAACAGCTCTTATTCTCAAGTCATGCCAGTCCTATATTGATCATCTCAGCTCTTAACATTTCTAAAAAGAGATAAAGTACCCTCTCTGATGTCATCATTTTTCCAGGTGTCATTTTTTATTATATGTATATTTGAATATATTGAGACAGAACTTACACTATGTATTTAAAAAATGTAACGTTCCTTGCTGAACATTGTGACATTCTAATAAACATTTGGGCCACAAAAAGTTTTAGAAAAAGGAGAATTTTAAAGAAGAATGGACAAAGTGGAATTTTCAAGGCTGGAATTATTTTCATTCAGGAAACATATTCCTAGATTCTCTGACTTTGATGCTTCAAATTTGAGTACCTGGTTACAGGTTGTGGGTGATGGAGGAGTTACCAACTGGTCATGAAGAATATAGGCCTAAGACCTATGAAAGTCATCGTCTTTAGAGAGAAAAATGTATATAAAACTATTACATGTAAATGTATTATTTTTACTTTGTGATACATTTTATAATTTGACCTTGCTTATATATTGATATGTTTATGTGTTGACTAACTTGAACCATTCACACTCATTAGCCAAAAGAATTAATTCTATATGCCCTAAACTTGAAAATGGCTCACATTTCTCCTTGTATTCCAAAAATATTTTCTTAAAAATCTAAAATGTAAAATTTTCCCTGAAATGAAAATTATTTTAAGTAATCCATGTGTTCTACAGACCCTGATTTATTTTCTTTTGATGTGTTTGCACACATAGGACAGACTCTTTTAGGAGATTTGTTGATTACTGCTTACAGAAAATACCCCAGGAAAGGCCAACATCAGCAGAACTGTTACAGGTAATTTTCCTTTCTTCTCCCATTGTTTGTTTGTTTGTTTGTTTGTTTGTTTGTTTTATTGGGGCGACATGGTCAATAAAATAATTTTTCAAATTTATATTTAAGGAGGGGGATTTAAAGTCATGTTGTAGTGAAATATAGTAAATCATTCCTGCAATAGCTCATCCTGACAAACTGTATTAGCACGTGATGCCTTGTCATTCATCCAGAGACAGTAGGTAGGCGTAGAAATAGCAAGGCTGTATCAATGTATGTGCTGTACATACATTCCCTGTGAATAGTTTTTCGCCATCTTTTCCTTTTGCTTATACCCACCCTGTTTTTGATTTACGACAAAAAATATTTCTCCTTGCTCTGGTCATTATTGTGATATTCCTATGACTAAGATCTGTATGAACTTTCAGGGCAGAGTCTGCCAAAAATAATAATTCCGAGATTTTCACTTCGGTTGTTGTCAAATCATCAGGCACATTGGTGACAAGAGTATCATGTTAACTGCATTCACTTGATTTCAACATCGTATTTTTGAGCGTCTCTTTTCATGTTACATTTTATTGTACACTTATACATAAATGGTATGTTCCATCTATATCAGTGAAATATGTGAGAATCTTTTAAAATGTAAATATTTTCTTTGGCACAAAGTAGTCTAGATTTCTTTAACTTTTTTCTGTATGCATATCTCTTAACTCTCGTTTGTTTGGTTTAAGAAAGACTGAAGAACTGTATTGCCTAAACTGGTGATGCTTAAAAATGTCAACTAACTTTGTAGTTGAAGAGTACTTTGGCTAGGTCAAAAATTCTTGGTTTCCATTTCCTTTTTCTTAGAACTCTGTAAACAGTTTTCTATCATTTTCTGGCTTTTAATGTTCTTGAAGAGGCAGGTCTAAAGTGGACTAATTTTTCTACCCCAAAAGTAAGTTTTTTCTTCTCGTGAGCCTCAGGCCACAGGAATATGGCGAGAGAAGCAACAAGGCAGAGCACTCTGCCTAATTCTCATTTGATGTGGAGCCATCACATGTTCTTGATATGAACTATGTGTATCCATGTGAACTATGGGCCCTAGCAACAGCTCCCCATTTCTAGAGGGGAAAAATGACAGCCAGAGCAAAACACTAATACAAGATCAAGTATCTTTATCACTTTGTAGTAAGCAAAGTGTTTTTTTTTTTATTTTTTACCCAAGGACATGTTTTATTGATGTTAGAGAGAGGAAGGGAGAAAGAGATAGAAACATCAGTGAGAGAGAAACATCGATCAGCTGCCTCCCATATGCGATGTTTCATCCAACCAGGGATGAAACCCACAACCTAGGTCTGTGCCCCACCTGGGGATCATACCCACAAGCTTCTGGTGCACGGGAGGGTGCTGCAACCAACTGAGCCACCCAGCCAGGGCAGCAGAGATTTTTTAAAGGGCATGAAAAGCATGATCATAAAGGGAAAAAATAGTAAATTCGAGCTGTATTAAAATTAAGAGGGGGACCTCAAAGAAGAAGATACTACAAGGATTCAAAGATGAATTGCAGGGCAATAGACAACAGAAGGATGTAAAAAGCAAGTGGGCAGAGGTAAAGAAAGAAATGGAAGAGAAAAATTAAGACAACAGATAAAAATCATAAGCAACAGGCTAATACAATAAACCAGTCCATTTAGGATGTTTCCCATGGTAGGCAGTCTTAGGGAAGTGAAATACCATTAAAGGCAAATGAAAAAAAATTCTAAAGATGATTATGGAGAAGATGGCACATGTAGGAGACAAAGGAGAACTCACATAGGCCAGCCTATTATCCCCGAAGAACAAAGCGAAGCACGTGGAGCAGAAGATATTTAAAGACATACCTGAAGAAAACTTTTTTGTCAGTTAATGTTCGGATCTTTATTTTAGTTGATTGGACATAGTCTTTATTTGATTTGGTGATCCAACACAAATGAGCCCTCCATTTATTCAACAAATACCTACTGATTATCTGCTGTGGGCGAAAGCCCTGTTTTAAACATTGAAAATAACATAAAAGTACGTAAGGAAAAGATAGCCCCTGCACTCGTGCAACCTAAATTCTAATGAAGGAGAGTAAAAGCAAACCAATAGGTGATGGTATAATGTCAGGGGTGGTAAATTATTTACAGGAAAAATGAGTAGACACAGGCACGCAGAGTGACAGGATTGCTGGATGCGGAGTGTGAGATGTGGAACAGGAACAAACACGCACGACGACAATGTAGGGTTGGGGGGAGGACTGAGGCCGATTCTAACAAGAATGTCGTATACTCTGCATTGCTTTTGCTGTTATATAGTTTCAGATTTGAACCTGAGTTATAGCTTCAAGTTTACTAGAAACCGATCTGCTCTCGTATACTTGGAAGCACTGGAGTAGCAAAATAATTTCCTTTCTCCCTTTCGTTCTCATCTTGAAATATGCAAGCTTACACTTACTTCCGGGAACAGTATTTCATCTTCAGAAAGGAGTCTTTGCAGAAGAAGAGATATTTTATAAAAGCGGGAGCGAAAGCCACAGTTTCCCTGACAGCAAAGTCAGGGTAAAGAACCACAAGACATGTAGATTTTTTTTTTCCTCTCACAATGGTCCTGTTCCTCTTTTGGATCTTTTTAAATTTACAAAAAAGTAAAATTCATTTCATCATCTAATGTCCACCACATTTATCTCGTTTTCCCAGTATCTTTAAATTTTGAATAATAATCTACAAATCAGTGAATTTCTCACATAACTGAACCTTTTCCTTTAAGAAACAAAGCATCTTCCTCCCACTTTTGGACATTTTCTTTGTCAAAATACATGCCTTCTAAGGAAGTGTAATAATGAACACCACTTCTCGATGGCTCAAAAACAGTAGTGTTTTTCCAACTCTTGGTGTATAAAACGACTATATAGGGGCATTGCCCCTCTTGGCAAATGGCCCACAAACCTTTGTTTATTTTCATTCAGTTGATGGTTTGTGTGTTAGCCATGGAATTTCTTTCCTTCTGTACTGTCAGGCTGTCAGAGAACTTTCAAAGGGCACTTCTTTTACACCCCATAACCCCATCTCTATCCGTTCTCAATCCTTTCCTTCCTCTTTCATGCCCTCTTTCTAACCTGCTCTGGGCTGAGAAACAAGGAAACCAGAACATGTGTTAAAGATCATTGACAACATTGAAAGCGAGGGCCGCTTAACCAAGAGAAGTTTGTGAACTTTGGGGCAGAGATTGTCCCTCCTCAGAGGCCCTTTTCCCTTTCTTCTGGTTGTGTGACTTTTTACAGGGAAGATGAAGTTGCCAGAATTCTGACCTCCGAATTTAACAGCTCTCACATTTTTAGTCATACGCTGTATATGACCACAGGCATAGAAAACAAAATATACACAACCATAGTGTAAGTTGAGGAGGAGAATTAAGGCAGATTATGACAGGAGTCTTCTGTACTCTGCATTGCTTCTGCTTTACTATATAGTTTCGATTTGAAAGTTGTAAACCACTCAGCTTCTAATTATAGTCTCATCGTCATTACTTGAAAGATAAGGTAAACCTCTCGAGTTCTCATGTAAACTCTAGGACAAGGTCCACAAAATGGGGCTTGAAGTAGAAAAGCATTTTAGTTATTTCATTATGAGATTTATACAATATGAGAAGCTACATGATATGAAAATCATTATCTTGATAATTCTGAAAAATCCATACAACTGTTTTATGTCTCTTTACTACTGTATCTGTATCTTGCACCTAAGAGTATGTTTGTCACGATCGGTTTTTGTTATTTTCTCCCCCTTCTGTTAGCATGACTTTGTCCGACGAGACCAGCCACTGCGTGTCCTAATTGACCTCATACAGAGGACAAAAGACGCTGTTCGTGAACTAGATAACCTACAATACCGAAAAATGAAAAAAATCCTTTTCCAAGAGACACGGAACGGACCCTTGAATGAGTCCCAGGAGGATGAAGAAGTAGGTTCAGTTTACTTTAGCAGGCACTTACCGAGTGCCTCCTGTGTGAAGCTCTGGACCAGGCACTGTAAAAAACACTTCGGGGGATAGAAGTGTAATGGATGCTCCCTGCCTTAAGAAACACACAGAATTGCAAAAGAAACATTCGTGAAATAACTCATATAAAACAAAATATGATACATGCTATGGAGGTGTATTACCATGCAGGGGTGCCCAGTGGGGATTAGTGGAAGTTAGAAGGAGGACATGATGTGAGTGGTTTTTGACAGAAGGGCAGAGGGCATGGTAGACTCAGGAAAATGCTATGCTTTAGAAAGATTATCCTAGCAGCAAAACAGAAGATGGATTTGGTGGGTGGCGACTAGTCTATGCAAGAGGTAAAAAGGGCAGTGTCAGTGGGAATGGGGGTAAAAGGAACTCTTTTGAGAACCACTGTAGAGGGAGATTCGATAATGCAGTGCTTCAGCTACAGTGTGTCAATACCAAGAACAGAAAAAGAACCAAGGAAAAAGAGTCGGTTTAAGATGATTTCAGTTTGGGGCCTGTGCAGTTTAAGGTCCTAGCATTATATGCCACTGACATAGGACACGGATGGAGTTTTCAAAGGAGAGAAGACTTCCTGGTTTCTCTTTCAAATAACTTGAAAAGGATGGGTTGGGGCAAGTGTAATAACAGTTGGGACACCTGAACGATGTCTAGCAATTGGTTGGAATATACAAATCCAGAACGTAGGAAAGAGGTCGGAGTCAAGGGTAGTTGGTTGGGAGTCAAGAACACTAAAATGATCACGAACCAAGGAGTTGATTGCGGAATGAGAATGCCATGCAAGGAAAGGGAGACCTAGGAGGTAAAGGCACTGCAGATGTTAAGAGAGTACACAGTTTCGAGGAGGGAGCAGCCAATACCATCAGACGCTGCCAAGGGGTCAGGTTAGACCAGAGAAGAAATGTGAAGTGCTTTCTTTATAAGGGGGGCGTTCTCGATGACCTTAGAAAAAGCAGTTTTACAGGAATAGTTAGGATGAATGGTAAGATTACTGTGGGTTTTAGAATAAATGGGAAGTGAAAAAACAGAGATAGCTAAAGTTTGTTATTTTAAGATTCATAAATTTGGCTAAGAAGGAAAAGTGACAAAGGGCAGTGTGTAGAGAGGTATATAAATATGGGCAGGCCTCTTCAGGGTTATATGCCAGGGGGAAGGAGCCAGCTTTCAAAGATGCAGGAAAGAGATACAGTTAAAGAAGTGGGATTTCAGGAAGTGCTTAGGATAGGAACAAGAGTGTTTGAGCACAGATTAGCCTATCTAAAACTAGATAAAAAGGAGGAAAAGAATGATGAATGTTATTTTAGCTTTTTTATATAAAAGAAAATAAAACAAGATTATTTTATTAATAATTACAAAAATGAGATTTAGAAAGCTGAATTGGACTATAAAGTCTCTTGATTGCACATATACAAATGATCCCCTTTAATTGGGAAAATAAATCTATTAAAAATATAATGTATTGTCTAACACTTTAAAATACCCCAATTACCTATGCTAGTGGTTCCTTATATTGCCAAGTAACAATTCTTTGAAGTTATATATGTACATATGAGTTTTTGAAAATAAGGTTTATTTGGGACTAAGTTGCTTTAATTATATTATTTAATCTTATATCAAAAGATATCCCACTGTGATGGATAAATTATATGTTCTGATTATTTTACCACTTCTCAAATAGTAGTCTTTAGACGAGTAGTAATGAATAACAGTATTATTTAACAGATATATTTAATAAGATTACAGAGGTGAGCACTGACAGAATTGCTTAAGGGAGGCAGAATATAATTACCTATCCAGGACAGTAGAATTAATATTCCTGATTAGATATGAAGTTACTCAATAATGACTTGCAAAGGAGTGTATTACTTGTCAAATCTCTGAAAACTCTTTTTACTGTATTTTAGTTTCAAGTGACCACTGCCGTGTTTGCAGATAGCCTAGAGGTCAGCTGCCCAATCGCCGGCAGTCTTTCTCTAGCCCCTTGATGTTCTTGAAGGTCTCTCACAAACCTGGCCTGATTCTGCTTCCCAAAGAGCAATACAATAAGCCGACAGTTGCATATGACAGGGGAAAGCCCTGGGATAGCAGTGTTCGGAGCCACGTGACTCACGTCCAGAATGGCCCCTGGGGAAGGCACCGAAGGGAATCTGGGATGTCCGAAAGTGGTGGGGTAGTAGTGGAGCCACTGCAGAAACAGTTTATCTGCAGATTTGTCAGAAAAGCAACCTGGCACTGCAAAATTGAGTGTGTTTCATAGCTTAGTCAATGGATTGGAGCTTTATCTGCAGTCATTTTTTTTTAACCCAAGTGTCCCATTTTTATAGGACAGCGAACATGGAACCAGCCTGCGCAGGGAAATGGACAGCCTGGGCAGCAACCACTCTATCCCAAGCGTGTCCGTGAGCACAGGCAGCCAGAGCAGCAGTGTGAACAGCATGCAGGAGGTCCTGGACGAGAGCAGCACTGAACTTGCGATGACACATGATAACGAAAGCACAGTCAATTCCAGTTCCTCCATTGTACACAGGAAGGTAGGTTTCGCCGTCCCCTTCAGAGCTCTAGCCTTTGTCAGTCACAGTGAAGCCAGCTCGGGTCACTTAGTTACCTTTTTACACCTGAAATGTGGGACTAAACCTAGCACTAGGTAAGCTCTCTTACAGTAAAAAAGGAATGAAGGACTGTATAACCCACATCTGTGCCTGTTGCTTGATCTTCTCTTGTTCCTCTGATGTCTACTGCTACCAATAAGTTAAAATTGTAAAAATCCATAAATCTCCAAGTCAAATAAACCAGTAAGGCCTTCTCTAAATCAATAACCTTAATACTGCTGAGCAGCAATTTTCACCCTTTTTCATGTCATGGCACGTATAAACTAATCGCTAAAATTCTGAAGCACACCAAAAAATATATCTTTTGCCAATCTGACAAAAATAGGTACAATTGGGGGGGGGCGGATTTTATTGATTTATTTTTAGAGAGAGGGCAAGGGACTATGAAAGAAAGGAATAAAAACAACCACCGGTTGCCTCTCGCACCCACCCCAACCAAACACCCTAACTGAGGACCTAGCCCACAACCCAGGAATGTGCCCTGACCAGGAATTGAACCTACGACCTTTCTCTCTGTGGGACAATACCCAACCAACTGAGCCAATGCTGGCCAGGGCAGAATTATTTTGATTCATTCACACCAGATGGCTATTGTGTTGGCTGCTGTCATTTTTCTATTTGATAGTCTAAGGGAATAGAAGTTGGTGCCCCCAACTAAATAGTTACTTACTGTACCTTTTAAAAATTCTTGCGGCATACTGGTTGAAAATTGCTGCTCAAGACCTTAAAAGCTTCCCGAGTAAAACTCTTTGGGTGTGCCCTTTTAGAAATATGCTTTTTCAGAGTGTCTCAATGTATATTCCCAAGGTACCATTTTAGAAACACTTTCTACTCTTTCCTGTTGAATCTTGATTTTACTGTTTCTAATTCTTCCAAGACTGGCTCTGTTACCTTAAGTATTCTGACTTTTGAATGAATGATTCTGGTTTTGGGGTGTTTTTTTTTTTTACTTTATTTTTCCAATTAAATATCCTCGTTTCTTACAAGTCTATCATGGTTCATAAATTGAAATACTTGATGAAAAAAATTTAAGCTCCTTTCAAAGCAATTTCTGTAAGATAAGTGTTTTGCAGAATTATCAATAATTTTTTGAGGGAATTCCCCAAAGTGTCTTGGGGTGACCATAGGTAAGAAATTCATAAAATTGAATTATAGAAAACAAATCCCTCATAATTTTGTCCTTATTGGGCATATTTGAGGTGTGTTTGTACTTATTTTAATAAATGGCAGTGATCACATTCTAATTCCAGTGAGAGAGCATGTTGAAGAATAGAATTTCTTTCACTTAGACTTCTGTTGGTTGTGCAATTTACTTGAGAAGAAAAGAAAATTTAACAGGTAAGGATGAAGGGCAGGAGAAAATATATTGGTCCCTGGTTGTGAACAGTGGAAGTTTACATATTTATTTTCCGAACTGGTTAACATATTATTTATTCAACTAATACTAGTGGGGGGACCTCTGTTATGTGCCAGGAACTATGGTAGGCCTGTGGATTCAGAGAAATAAAACAGACATGGTGTTTTCATGGCATTTATTATCCGTAGGGAAGATTAAGCAAATAATCATACTAAAAACTATATCATGTAATTATGAAACTTTCTCTGGGTAAAAAGAAGATTTAATCTAGCAGGCAATTGTGGAAAGCCTACCCAATAAAGTGACATTCAAGATAAAACTTTAAAGACAAGTGGAAGTTAGCTAACTTGGGGTGAGAGATGGGCATGAATCAGCAAGCAACGTGCTCAAAGTACCTGAGACTAAAAGAAATGTGTATGTTCAGGAAGAGGGGAAAGGTCAGAGAGGTTAGAGTTTGGTGAGCTGTGTACACAGTCAATTGAGACCAGAGAGACAGCAAGGACCCAGATTATCAGAAAGCCGTGGAAAGAAGTGATATCAGTTGGATGCAGAAATGCGCAGAGTTCAGCGTTGCCAGCTGGCCTTCTTTGAATACAGGCAAGTGATCATATACATATTTGAAGGGTAGAAAAGGTTTTGCAAGGCTCTCTTTTGGAAGGAGCTTTCGTGGATGCTGACATCTGGCTTTCCTTTCTGTTCCCTCTGGGGCTCCATGGGTATAGATAGCAAAAGAAGAGACGTTCTGTTGGATCTTTTTACCCCAGGACTTCTCAAATGGGAACCCAGAATTAGAAGAAAGATACTACTGCAAAAATCAGCAAGAAAGATGACCCTGGTCTCAGATTTAGCCAGGGTTTTCACTTTAATTTTGACATGCTGGTAGAGAGCCTTCTTGTGATGATATGGGTCTCTCAATACTTTTTTTTTCCCTCCCTGGTGCAAACTCTTAAGAAGTACAAGGTAGTTGTATTTGATCCACAGAAAAATTGTTTGTAGGGAAGAATTTAAGTTATATAGTGTATTTCTTTTTTGTTATGAGATAGAAGAAATGTGCTGGAAGAAAATTGAAAAACTTTTGCAAAAAAAACTTGGAATAAATTAACTTTAAGATATAAGCAGGCTAATCAAAAGACTATCAACAGAGTCAAAAGGCAAGCCACAGAATGGGAGAAAATGTTTGTAAATAATATTTATACATCTAATATTTTGCATTTATAATATTTGCATATAAAATATATGCATATCTAATAAGGAATGAATATCCAAACTATATAGAACACTCCTAAAATTCAACGACCAAAAGTTAACAACCCAAATCAAACATGAGCGAAGGACTTAAATAGACATTCTCTGAAGACGATATACAGATAACCAATAAACACATGAAAAGATTCCCAACACACTAATCATTAGGGAAATGGAAATCAAAACATACATTGAGATACCACCTCACACCCATTAGGATGTCTACTATCAAAAAAGAAAATAACAAGTGTTAACCAGGATGTGGGAAAATTGGAACCCTTGTGCACTGTAGGTAGGAATTTAAAATGATACAGCTGCTGTGGAAAACAGTACAGAAGTTTTTTTTAAAAGAACTGAAAATAGAAATGCCATATGATCCAGCGATTCCACTTCTGGGTATATACCAAAAGAACTAAAAGCAGGGTCTCAGAGAAATATCTGTACATCCATGTTCGTAATAGCATTGCTCACAATAGCTAAAATGCATGATCAACCCAAGTGTCCATCAGTGAATGATTGGATAAGCAAAATGTGGTCTATACATACTACGGAATATTCTTTGGCTTTAAAAAGGAAGAAAATTCTGATGTATGTTCCAACATAGATGAATCATGGGGACATTATGCTAAGTGAAATATGCTAGTCACAAAAACACAAATACTGTATGATTGCACCTCTACATATAAAGTACTTAGAGTAGTCAGAATCATCGAGACAGAAAGGACAATGGTGGTGGCCAGGGAGAGGGGAGAAGTGGGGAGCTGTTGTTTAGTGGGTACAGAGTTTCTGTACAGTGTACTGAACTGTCTGTTCAAAAATGATTCACATGGCACGTTTATATGTGTTTTATGACAACAAAAAGAGGAAAAAATATAAGCAAACTATAAAAACATTATACGTGAAAACTTAATGTTAAATATGGTATGCCTGTGCTTAAAAATATCATCTTCAAACACAATACAAACAAAATATATTTTGATAGTTATATTGTTGGTTGACTTGAATTCCAAAAAGTTTTCTACTTAACATAAATTAAATAGGATCTTAAAGTCTCGATGGAAACTCTTCATATAATGGACTCACAGGAATGAGGAAACTAGCTCATAGTTCTGTCTGCCACTGATTTGGACAAGGCACAAACCTCAGTTACTCCCTGTGTAAAATTAGGAGTTCAGCATGATTTCAGAGATCCCTTCGAGCTCTAAAATTCTGTGCTTCTATTCTTGTAATAATTAAAGAGGCAAATCTCTAATGTGACCCTCAACCTGTTTTTAGAGGTACCTCAGGAGCAGGCCTGCCCCACGCCTCACCCAGGACAAGGTCTGTTTCATTTCTTACATTATGTATTTGAATTCCACTTACGATTTCACTTGCAGGAAGGTTGGATTTTTGTTTCTGTTTTTGTTTTTCTAAAAGTTACTGCCCTGATCAGTCTCTTCTTCTCCATGCAGATGGGATGGTAAATACGATATATTACAGTAGGTAGTTATAAGGAGTATGTGTATGTGGGTTGGATTCTCTAGGAAGCAGAGTTGAGATGATTTATTGCAGCAGGTTATTATTATTATTATTATTATTATTATTATTATTATTATGAGTTTCCTTTGGGTTGAATACCCATGAAGGGAAGAGAAAGAAGCAACATTGATAAGAGGGCAAAGTTGAACTGAGATGTAGGCCCAGTGGCAGCCTCAACCAACCTTCCAGTGAGCTCTGGAGCGAAACTGGTCCTTAGAGTCGGGCCAGGACACCCATACTAGATCAGTCAGTGAATGTGAGCGAGCTGGGAAGGTTGTGAACTTGAGCAAGGCTGCCCTCTACAGCCAAGGCAGTTCCTAAAAGAAATGACAGCCAAAGACCACTGCCGGCAGCATGTCTTATCTTAAAGGATGTGGTGCATTTCTGAGTCTGTCATCATTTGCGACCACAAAGATAATTTTAGAAAGAAAGCATTCAATATTGTTGTACAAAACATTTATCACTTTTGTATGGGTCCAGGTCCAGAATTTTAGAAAAGCCTATATATCACTAAATTGTCATATTATAAACAATGTTCTACCCATTATTTCGTTGTCCTATTTTATATTCTGTTTAATACTTGTTGCTATCTAAAATTACATTTTGAATTAGTTTACTATTTTATGAGTAAAATGTAGATTTTATTAGGACAAAAACTCTGCCTCCTTTGCTCTGCACTGTATTTCAACACCTATGACAGTGCCTGGCACAGCATAGCCGCTCAGTAAATAATTATGGAATGAATGAATTAAAAAACCCACAGAGAATGAGTTAATTACCAGATATTAAACATCATGCTATGTTGGTTCATTGAATATAATGGATTAAAAGGGTTAAATAATATTAATTATTATCTTGATGGTTTGGAAGACTTAAATAGTTTCTCCAATAATAATACTCTAGACAACAAGAACACGCTTAATAAATACGAACATACAAGATTAAGGGTGGGGTATTGGCCGCCATGGCTCAATGGGTTGCAGTGTTGTCCAGTCGACCAAATAGTCGTGGGTTCAGTTCCCAGTCTCTCTCTCTCTCTCCCTCTCTCTCTCTCTCCCCCTCTCTCTGAAAAAAATTTCCATGGGTGAGGATAAAAATAATAAGGGTGGGAAATTTCTTGCACCTCCAGATTGTTGCAGTCAAGCAGACATACCCTAAATTATTGAAATCATAGATATGGAACAGATTACCATTTTATATAGGAAGTAAACTTTTAAAGGACACGTATAACTAGTAAGAGCTAGTGACTTGCAATTAACTGCTCTGCACCCAGAATAAAGATGCCCTGATTTTATCAGGACAGTTCTATCACAGATCAAGCCCCAAAAATGTAAAGTGGGACACTGAAAAATTTCCTTTGACATCAGAATTTCAGGTTACTTCTTTCTGTCCAACCTTTGCCTCTACTCTGGTCCTTCCCAAGCCCTGAAGGGATCCTAATCTAATCTTCCTTTTGAGCAAGAATGATTTGATAAATCTAAAAGTATATTCTGACAAAATAAACTTTAAGCACTTATTTATTTTCCCCTTACTGGTGTTGCCACACAGCTTTTTCCAACAACTAGAATATCACATTTCTTTGCATGGGTAGTGTCTCGACATCTCACATCACCTGCTGCCTAGCACAGTGTCTCGTCACATAGTACGTACTCAGTAAATGTTTTAGGGAACTTTTATAGGACACAACTCTGCACCCCAATTCTTGATTATTCACAAATGATTTCAGCGCAGACTTTTAATCCAGATCACATTTTTTTTGCTCTCACCTAGCCTGCTTCTGAGCCTCTGCACTCCTCCTTAAAATCATTGCCTATATAGCAGTAGAAAACAGATTGTAATGTCATCCTAAGCAACAAAGTCTATTTTCTTAATTTGTCAACTAAAAGGTATACTTTATTCTGTTGAAGTCTAAAATTAGTTCTTTTACCCTGCTGCCGCCGTCTATTATATAAATCATTAGACTTTCATATATTAAAATTATTTCTTCACTTATTTGTTATCTGAGATGTCCCTAAAGGACTCTCATCATGGTGGCCCCCTTTTAGCAATTGTTTTTAAAAATTATTCTATCCTAACTCCTAAAGCTTGACTTGGCTCCTACTATTAGTCATTTTTTTCTTCTTTGAAAAAAGAACAGCTTTCACCAACTTTGGGGAGGAAAAAAAAAAAAAAGAAATGTCCTTGAGGGGATAGGATGTTCTAGTTTAATTTTCACTTGCTTCAGTGGCCTTTCCTATTATTTTTGCTGAAGAGCGGGGCGGGTTATTTGACTCTTCAACTCGCATTGGGCAAAGTAAAAGTAAATTAACGTACGAAGGTAATGTTTCTTAAACAGAGCAGTTCTGCAGTCCCCCTGTCCATAGAAATATCTTTATTCTCAGTGTTCTGCTAGTCATTTTCTGTCCCTAATGGCTATGCTTCCAGGTTAAAGTATCCTTTTTATCTTCTCCTCCTCTAGTCCCAGGGGTGTCCAACCTTTCGGCCTCTCTGGGCCACACTAGAAGAAGAAGTGTTGTCCTGGGCCACACATTAAATACACAAACACTAACTAAAACAAAACAAAAAAATCTCATCAGGTTTTAAGTAAGTTTACGATTTTGTGTTGGGCCGCACTCATAGCCATCCTGGGCCACATGAGGCCCGCGGGTTGCGGGTTTGATACTCTTTAAGTTTTGCCAGTTACACCTGCTTAGGCAATCATTGAATAATTTTGAAATGAGCAAAGCAAAAGAGATGGTGGTTTTGCTGGTCCTTTCTCCATGGCATGAACAGTGGTAGGATCTATAAAAGGGATCCTCATCACCGGATGAGATCCAACTGTAGACCCCCCACTGCCCCCACGGAAAGGGGTGCCTGTGTGTGTGTGTCAGAGGGGCTGGTTTTTGTGAAACGCAGATTTGAATTCTGTTACATAATGTAAGAGAAGGTGCCCTTACCCTCGTGTCTCAGACCTACATCCTTGAGCTTATTTATTCCGCAAACATCGACTGAATTCCTACTAAGTTTCAAGCACTGTGCTAGGTGCTAGGGTGACTGAGACTCTTCAGGCCACATTTACTGTCTCCCCAAATCCCACAAGTTTGTGCCTAGGCAGACAAGTAGGTGTGATGAGCAGTGTGACAAAGGTATACCCAAAACTTCACAGAATTCGGAGGAGTGATTTCCAGGATTAATTTCAAGTTAAGCTAGAACCCATAAACAGGTGGCTATACTGTAAATCTTAATTTTAGAGTCATAACTATTCAGACACTTAAGGAAAAACTTCTAAATAAAAGTCAAACATCTTGTCCATAGTATAATAGTAAAAAATTTGTGCCTCCTGCTTTACACACTTCACTGTATTGTATGTAAGTTCAATTCTTTTTGACTAAACATTTGGGGCAAATATTACAGCTTGTTTTTCCATCTGAAGTTTTACTTCTCGTGAGGAAAGAACATTGTCAATTTACCAGGTTAACAGAGATTTGCTTAAAGCTGGTCCCCGATCATATCGGTATCTCAAAGAGCTAGTTTGTTTATTCCTGGATGATAATGCTTTCAAGATAAATTATAACCAAGTCATATTGCTTAGTTGGTCTTGATAAAGTAGAACATGATAATTGTTCCTAAAATCATTCCTAAGCATCAAAGAAGATGGCCCTCTCATTATTTGTAAATAATCTTCATAGGCGCCTAACTGCATAAAATAGCAAACTGACCTTTTCCACTATTAATCTTCAAATGTGTTTAGTTCAGAAACTCTGGGAGCCAAGGATAGTCATTTTCAAAGGGACTGCTACTTAAAGGGGCACAAGAACCAGCAGACAGTATATCCAGTGAAGTTGATAGTTTAATTTGTTCATACTTACTTCTCAAGTCACATTCCCCCACTTTAAAATGGCTTTATTATTTAAGTTGTCTTCAGAGTTTGGAACTTCTTTTATACAAAAGAATAAACAATTTTAAAATTCATTTTCCAGTGTACTTGAAATGGGTATCCCTGTGCGCCTACAATTTTCCCCATCATGTGCTCTCTTACATGACTTAGTGTTGGTGATCTCTGTTATGAAGCTGCTATGGAAAACCAAAAACTCTTTTCAAAAGGGCAAAAAAAATTCAGGGTACAAAGCAAAGATTATACTGTTAGGATCATATTATATTTAAAGTAGGTTAAAATTTTGGACCTATTCTTCAGTCTAACTTCTAAAATAGCATTATTTTTAAAATATACCTTATTGGGTTTTTTAATTAGCTATGTGTCAACTAGAGTCACTATAATTTTGAGTTTTAACTTTTCTGTGTATTTTAAGATCCTTGTGTTAAAAAACTTAGCGACCATAATGTGACTTTTAATTTCATAAGCGGAATCCTAACCCAAAAGTGTTCATTTTTATGTGAGAGAAAATGTAATAACATTAAGTTTCTACATATTCGCATAAATATGTTTTATTTTATTCTGTTATGTGAAGAATATGAATTCTAGTGTCACTGGTTATCTTTGTAAATCAAGTTACAACAATTTCAAACTCAGCAGCCGCCACATCATGTGAGATCTCCTAAATATTATTAGCGAGCTAATTCTCACCAAAACTGTGACTCCTCAGGCCTCCACTTAGTGTTACCTCTTGGGTTTGCTGGCATTTAAAAGCTTCTTGCTTTTCTGGTACTATAATATTAAGTAAGATGAGTTCTGGAGATGAATGTAATTTATTAATGGGCATTCAGCAACATGAATGGTAGCAAATCCAAGTGCCTTCCTCTCCAGAATCTAAACCTAGTTCCAGTCCCACGCCTAATCTGTCTTTGCCCTGTGGCATGAGAGCTTATGTTTCCCAGAAAACAATGTAGAAAATTTTAATTGACCTATTATTTTTTATAAGTTTGAAAAATAAGGGTTGAGATGCATTTTTAACCTTCAGCGCTATCTAATAGGACTTTCTAGAATGATGGAAATGATCTTTATCTGCAGTGTTCAATATGGTAGCCATGATTGTGTCTACCTTGAAACATAGCTGGTGTGACTTAAGGACTGAATTTTACATTTCATTTAAATATCCATGTGGCTGGTGGACATCTTATGACACAATACAGTAGTAGAACATCCCTTAAATTTTATATACGTGCCCTTAACAGCATTTAGGGTCTCTTCATTGTTTGAAAAAACAGATCACAATACAGTAAATTGAAAAAAAAATCTCTAAATATAGATACAATGGGAGATACCATCCCAACATGCTGAAGCATTCTAAATTTATAAAAGGGAAAAGAAAATCAGCCCAATGATAAATTTAATCTTGGCTTTTGGCTTTTACATAAAAACCTGGGTGTAAAATTTAATATCCCTCAAGAAATATATGTGTTTTGACTTACCAAAATTTAGGCTATATAATACAATTTTATGTTTCCTAAACCTTTAATTTTTGTTTGCTGATAAAGAAAAGGACAATTATAAAAAATTTCAAATAGTCATGGACAAAATGCAAAACTGACTTCTCACAATGGTTTCTCCTAAAACCCTAGGGAAATAAGAGAATTAATTTCTCCTTCACTGCCCTGAACATGTACCATTTAAAAATCCCCCATGGTTGTACATGTTTTTGAGCTATTAATTATCATAGTGTCTTCTTTTCTGCAGGGTTAGAGCCACTTACTGACTGGCCACTCCATCTTTTATAGAGAGACACAACACCCTTTGAAAGCATTTTCCCCTTTAAATTCATTCCAGTTGCATTTAAGAAACATCCATTACTATCCTTCCAGGGAGCGTTATTTTTCACTGGGCATTACAATAAGATTAATCACCTTTGCCCATCAAGAAGCATATACTTGATTAAATCAGTCAAGGACATTAAATTCCAGCCTTCCGCACTCTGGTGAGCATACCGAGACTGAGTTGAGGAAGAATTTGTGAAAGTATCATTTGGTTAAAATTGTATGCCTGTCTCTTTAAATCTAAAAAAAAATCCTTTCAGAAGCTGTAGAGAGAAGGTGCTAGAACTGTGTACGATCATGACTGGAAAGCAGGATCCCTCAGTGACTGCCGAATCTTCCCAGCACAAGATAGAGAGGCAGTTCAGCACAAGACTACACTGGTTCTAGGCAGAACGATGATCCTACCGAACAGATCTCAAATAAAATTAAATTGAGAAAGCAGATCTTTCAAGGGAATGAGGCGGAGGCTCGCTTTTATGTTAAAAGCAACCAGCATCCTCCTGGCTAGACATGGACATGACATTTTTAAAGGAATTATTTGGTTACAGCGTCTTAAACAAACTGTTCTAAGGAGTCTGTACATTGCATTGTTTTTTCTATTCTTTTTTTCTTTTGCATATATGTGATTCTGGAGGTAAAGAAAAAGCCTGCCAGGGATTCAGAAGGCATCCCACTAGCGATCAGCTGACATTCCTAACTGAAGGCTGCAATGTGTTGCTTATTCATTTTGTACCGTGGGAGCTGCGGGGACTAGCAGAGAGCTAAACTATGCATTTCAAACAGCAGTGCTTGTGCAGAAAGAGGGGTGAGAGAGAGGCAGCCGGCGAGGAAAGAGCACAGCTGGACTTTCTCCTTGTTTTTATCCATTTCTGCAGGATCATGTATTCATAAGGGATGAGGCGGGCCACGGCGATCCCAGGCCTGAGCCACGGCCTACCCAGTCAGTTCAGAGCCAGGCCCTCCACTACCGGAACAGAGAGCGCTTTGCCACGATCAAATCAGCATCTTTGGTAAGCAAACACCCCTCTACTCACCTTCCCTTCCTTCCCCTCCTCCCCATCTGGCAGCCTCTCGCCCTCCCTGAGCCTCTCTCGGCTTCATGGATGGGAGGAAAGGAGTCAAGAATGTTTTCTCCCTCCTAATAATTTTATTCATTTTAGAAAAAATCTGTTGGCATAGCAACCTGATCTCAGATATTTTAGCATTGTCTACGGCATGGGGAAAAAAACCTTTGTGTGTGTGTGTGTGTATTTATATATGCTGTATGTGCAAAATAAAAGGCCTTTAAGATGAAGTTGCTAACATATCTAATTTTTTAAAAGCTCTTTGTCTTTTCATTAAAATAATAATGCTAAAAATATTTTAAAGGTATTTGATGTATGTGTTTGCTGGGCACTATGCTTCTTTTTTATATAGATTCATGTGTATCTATAATGTATACACATACATCAAAAGATAAAACACAATTTTTTTTAAATATATGGTTGCCGGCTACTGTATATAATTGTAGAAAATAAGCTACTTGCTTCCCAGGGATGGATTGCTGGTTCGTTCTGGTTCATTCATTTATTTATTGCAACAATGGTAGTGGCTGCACTTCCCCATTTAACCCCTGAAGAATTTCCTGCCACCAATAAAGCAAGAAGGGCTTTGTAGGAGAGGATAGGGATGGTCGTGGAAGGAAAGATACTGTAGGATCCTTCAGCATTTTTACTATTGCAAATGTGATTGCTGGATGCCCTTGTAGTAGCAAAAGGGGTGTGTGCTGGAAGAGTTAGTTTTCATGCCTCCTCCCCTTGGTCCCCAACGCGTGCGCGTGCGCGCTCACACACTCACTCACACACACACACACACACACACACGCACACTCACACACACTCGCACTCACACCGTTTTCATCCTCGGCACTCTAAACTCTCCTTAATCTTTTGCTTCTGAATCTCACTTCTCAGCCAAAAAAATTATTGCAATGTTAGTTAGTGTGCCCAAATTGACGTTAGAGGTTACATGTGCAGGAAGAGTTCCACTGCCTGGCTGTTACATTTAGAACCTATGATGACATCATCCAAGGCCGACCCAGAAATGATTATTTTTCTTGTCCTATTTTTTAAACCCCATTTCCACTTTTATTTCTCAAGTCTTTAAAAGGCTTCAGTTATCTTTTGGAATTGATATTGGATTGTAATTTTTAAAACCCCAAATATAAGGAAAATGGGAGTTAAAGCACCTACCTATTGCTGTGCCTGCTGCAAGCAATTGAACACAGGCTCCTTATAAATAATAAGCCTGCCTTTAAGTTCCTTTGTATAGAAGTTTCTTGTAATTTCTTTAATGGGCAGTTTTTTCGTTTCAAATGAATGCTGTAGTGTGTAATGGAGATCTTAAAATGTCCACTATGTATTTGCTAGGGATGTTAAGCACCTAAAAAAACATGCTTCTGAGTCTAAATAAAGCATGAAATCCTAAATAATAAATATCTTCAAGCCACGATCTCTGACAACAGAAGAAATATGGTATTTGTGGAGTATTACTACTTACCACCGACCCTTGTGAGACTTGTAACCTTTATTCAGACATGCTCGTGTGGAAACGAGGGGAGAAAAGATGAGCAAGCACTGAGAATCCGAGCAGCACAGCAGGTTTCCAGGCAGACATCATACCCAGTGGGTTTCCCCTCTCCGGGGCAGACCGTCTTCTCTGCCCACTTGCCACACCCTCACGCCCACATCATATATTCATGACCTCTCCTACCTCCTAGTAAGGGAGATACTATACTACTGCCCCGCCAGCATGATCTTACGCCTGCATCTGTGAACTCACCCAGGGCTACTGTGTGTACATATCAGCCATCACAGTCTTCCTCTCCGTGGGTAATGAAAGCCGCTTCCCTACTAGGGCCACCTCAGGGCTGCGGGCAAAGTCCTCAGGAACCCTCTGAATCCTACAGGCTTCATAGTGCCCATTCTGTGAGCAGCTGGGATCTGTCTCTCTGGTGGACTTTTGATTTGCTAAAGGGCCCCTGCCACTATATTAAGTTAAAAACAGAGTAGCTGATAAGCTGTCGCTGTAGCCACAAAATAAGTTTTTTTGGGGTGTGGAAAACCCTCTCCAAATTCAATGTTTTGGGAATCACAGTGGGATTTGATGGGAGTTTATCAGAGTTCAGTGGTATTTGTGTCTAGTGGCTTTTAGGGAAAAAATAATTAATGGAAGGGAAAAGTGATGTGATGTATGATTTCACATTCCATTTTGAACAATCTAACTATTGGGATAATATTTTAATGAATATTATCAAGTACTAACCATTATTTTAAAGGCTAATTTCATTAGGAATATATAAATCAGGACACTGGAATATCAAGAAGCAGTACCTAATTTTTTAAATTATATTACGAATCTTACTGTTTTTTGTGGATCCTCACTGAAAATGAAAAAGGAGTAAAATTATTTAAATGACATAAAAGAGCAAGATCGTGGGAAAATGAAGGTCCACTATAATAGTCAAATCATTGTTGAAACCTCTCTCCACTTCTCGTAATTGGTAGCAATACTGTACTTATTTATTTATTTTGGTTCTACTCTTTCTTTACAATCTTCTAGTAGAAGTGATAACAAGTCACAGAGTGATCCAAAAGTGAACAGCAAAAAGAGGAACTCAGAAACAAGTTTTTCAATTACAGGACTGGATAAGTAAGTGAGGAGTGTATGTTTTAAATAGACTTGCACACTGAAAAAAATATATACAGTTTCTGAAATTCGTTTTATCATCCTATCTCTCCCACATAGCCCGAAAGAGGCCTAGCTCCGCGGTTTTCCCCCTAGCATTTCTTTCTGTGTTGTGTGTTTGAATGGGGTCATTGGCAAGTTTGTGAATTCCATGGGCTGTAGGCTTTTGCTGCTGGATATTTTTATTATTTTGGCACCTTAAAACTGAGATTTTTATTTTATCGTGCACCCTACACAATTGCATTTGTAACAAAGAAAAGCAGGGACTGCTAACCTTGATACCAGAGGATACCCTAGGGAAACTTTAGAACTATATATTTAATTATAATCATTTAAAGGAAAGATTATTGACCTTATTTTGAAAATGTAGGAAAAGTAAGGGCATTTTGTGGCACCTTTTAAATGTATTATTTCTTCTTCTTGCAAGAAAGCTCGTATATGGCTGATTCATTATCTGGAGAAGGGAATTGTTCATATATCTATTCAGAATTACTGAATTCTTGGGCCTTTGAGATGTGCCTTTTGAGTTTTTATTGTTAGTGGATAGAGATCCTGACATTTTAATTAGATAAGTGACCCATGATACTTTAACTGTAGTTTCAGCTGATACTACATCTGATGTCATTTCTTCTTAAAACTTTATAATGTCCTGTGTCACTGGCTGTTCCCATAATAAATGTTAATATAAAGAGCTCCATGACCATATCTATCAGACAATTCTGCTTTTCATCTTCTGAAGGAATTCTCACTGGAATGCTGGTACCCAGGTGAATTTATATTAGAATACACCTTAGGGAGAGGGGCACAGAACTTAGTTTCCAGTCTCCAGGAAAGATGTAGGAGAAAATGATTATTGTTCTATCTAAGCAAATACAAATTCTTTGGCTTTGGTTTTACAGACTCAGTAGAAAAGCTCATATAAAAATGGAGTCTTCATTTGGATTTTTTAAAGTGCAACCTAATTATTCAGCTAATTGTGAAATTGGGCACCTGAATGAGTTTGATAAATAAGCATAAAAATATTAGAGCCTCAGCAATGAATGCTACAGTTTCACCTCCCTGAGCCCTACTGTTCTGTTTCCAAATGGGTAAAACCATGGCCTCTTCCTGGATAGCATATCAGAGGATGCTTATCAAAACATTGTGTATCTCCTCTTTCCTTTCTGTTAACTTCTTAATCTCAGGAAGATCAAGGCTGATGCCATTTTTCACTTGTGTTGCCCAATCTGTATGCCCATCCCACATAACCCAAGGCTCTCAATAAACATGTGTTGAATGAATGAATGGGCAAATGAATGAATGAAGTCTCTTCCAGCCCTGCTACTACCACATCAGAGTTTGGATTTATAAGTGTGCATTTCAGAATTCTTTGTGTCAGTTTTTCTGGATAAGGCAAAATTGCCTGTTATCAGTCATACTTTTTGTGTGAACTTAAAACATTTTTCCCCTAGGTATTCTAAAGAGTGGAATGTCAAAATTCTAATGCCAAAATGTGACTCATTGTATTCTTTTTAAGAACTTGCTATAAATTTCATTTGTCCTAAGTTCTCAGGGTAGCCAGTTTTATCATAAGCACTATTTTAATTCATACATATAATTAATCTTGTAAATTGGCTTTGATCTCTTAAGAGGGTAACATTATCAGCCATGATGCTTCCCTTTTATGTTCAGTAAGTTGCTTATTAGCCTTCTAGTGCAGTGTTGTGTAAATACTTGGTAGGCATATAATACACTTTGCATGATGTGGTGTGCTTTAAGGCCACATTTTGCTGGAATTAAATCAGGTAGAATGGAATGGCTATAGTTAATAATTCAAATTTAGAAATTATACATACTTATTTTTATAATCCACAATCTGGGTACAAATACAGTTTTATTGTTAAACTTGCCCTTTCTCATAGATCCACTTCTTCTGATTTACATTCTCATTAGTAGAAATGCTTAGTGGAGGGAAAAAGACAGATTACTCAGAGTCTGGTAAGAAAAGAAAGGGAAGAAACATCTATTCCACGTTTCCTGTGTGTCAAACACCTCGCTAGGCACAGATGTTATCTTATCAGTGGTGCCCTCCTGGGAGTGGCTCCTCTTTGCACACAAACACTGAAAGAATTCAGAGGCTAAGGAATTTGCCCAAGGTCAGTTATATAGTCATGAATGGAATGAGATTTTATCTCCAAGCAACCTACTGGGTGTGCAAGATAAATTGCTTACTTTTAGTTGATCACATTTTTGAGACCATGATTGTGAAAACTACGATTCCTACATTTCTATAACTTTCTCTCATTTTCAGACTTATTCAGCTTGTAACTTGGATGTATCATTCTCTTTAATTTTGATTGTTTTGGGTATTGATTCTCTTCATTACTTCATAACACAAAGTTTCATTCATTTCTGCCTTGGTGGTATGAGTTTTCTCAGGCAATTTCAGGACCATAGGACCTTAGTTCAAATCCCAGTCTTCATAAACATTAAAGAGGTAAATTACATGAGACAGCACTTTGTAAACCATAAAGCATGGTACAAATTATGAGCTCTATTTTATTTTATTGACAAAACTGTCTTCATAAGACATGACGTTTAAACTTAAGTAACAGAGGCACACATAACTATAGGTAACATTTTTAAAAGTAAATTTCGTGTTAGACTTCACAAATGAAACATCTGGTTGTACGTCACATTCATCTGTCTGGCTTGAGCGTGGAAATACGAAACTCACTATCGCTATCTGTATCTAAGAAGACGATTACTTCGAAACTTAGAAACTTAGTTGTATACATGGAAGGTGATGTTAGGAATTTAAGAAGGTGATTATTCAAATTATGGGAAGCATTTAAAAGCAAAGTGTCTCTCCCAGAATGTAATGATGTACGATGCTAGCGTGTTGAGCTTTGTAATTTATTTTTGCCACATAATTGTATGATCTGGTATGCAGTAGGACCACCCTTTTCCCAGAGACTCACCCACCAATTAAGATAGAAAATTGTTCTTGACACAACTCATTTCTGTTTTGTCTTCAGGCTGTCTGATTTAGGGAAATGGCCACACTTTATTTTATTGACCACGACGAACCAGTCAAACATTCTGGGGGCAAGTTTAAATGTGTTTTGATAGCTTTAGAGTGTGCCATGCCTCAGTTCTGGGAATCAGAATAAAGGAGGAATACTAAAATAAGAAAAAATAACTACACAGATAAAACATCTTTCAAACTACTTACCTTCAAACAGACACTTTACTGCCATGTTTGTCTAAAAACAAGTGAGTTCAGAAAGGATTAAATGGTATACTTTCTGTTGATTGGAATTGTTTTTAATCCCTCCAGTTGAACTTTGGAAAGGCACAAGCAGGAGAAAGTGAAATATAGACATGTATTTCCAACTACTTTCTTTTTTATCATGAAATAAGTCCATTACAAAACACATAATTGTGATGGCAAAATAGATTATGTATAATATTTAAAGTGTTAGGTGCCTCTTTGGTGATGATATCCCTTTTTGGTCTTGAAATATTGTCTACTGTTATTTCTCATACTTTAAAGAGGGTTATCCTTTAGAAAAGAGAAATGAATATGAAACCAAGAGTTAGTTTCATCTGGAAAGGTTTCAAAGTTCGGCTAATGTTTAGTGGTGTACTTTGATAATACTATCCAGTTACAGAACAGCTCTCTCTTGATATTAAGGACTCAGTAAGGATGCAGGGACACCTTCTAAAAAGAGCAGAGAAACAACCTTTCCTTTGTACAAAATACACTTTGACCCATAAACTGAAAATAGTTAGACAGAGTTAATAGCAGCATGAAAATTTCCAGTAAAACTTGTTTAAGGTTTGGCTGGAGGAGAAGTGGCTTAGAGTAGATAGGAGAGACTAAATTACTTAGTAAAAAAAAAAACAAAACTAAAGTTATAATTTTGTAATTAAGATGTTTTTCTAAAATACTAAACATGAGAAGGAAGTTACCAGAGAGTCTGAAAGGAAAATAAAGAGGGGTGATAAATTTGAAGGAAGGACTGAAAAATCAGAAGAGGTTTAATGGATAGACACAAGATATCGAAATTCACATCTGCAATCTTCAGTTTGTTGGCTATTCACTTGAGAATGGGCTAAGGGAAAAACTACTAAGAAAAATCACCATCTAGGCCCTGGCCAGGTAGCTCAGTTGGTTAGAGCATTGCCCTGATATGCCAAGGTTGTGGGTTCTATCCCCAGTCAGGGCACATATAAGAATCAACCTATGAATGTATAAATAAGTGGAAAAATAGCCACCCAGAAATCACAGAAATGTTTTTTGCCTCTTTAGGAAAGCAAGTTAGATGTATTATAAGTTTTTAACATCTCTTCTTCAGGGAAGGAAGGGGAGGAGGGAGACAGATGATGTAAACGGAGAGGGTTCTTTCTCTCTCTCTTGATTCATGTGAATAATAGAAAATCAGTTTTGTTCAAACTATTTCTGGAAGGATAGTCAAGATTCCTATGACTGTTAGCCATGATTCTTAACAAGCAAACAATGCGGTAGTCTGATGCGGCGCAGTGGTTCTCAGTCAGAGGGATCATGCCCCTCCCCCAGGAGACATTTGGCAATGCCCAGAGACTCTTTCTGTTGTCTTGGCTTGGGAGGTGCTGCTGGACTCTAGTGGGCAGGTAGGTCAGAGATGCTGCCAAACGTTCTGCACTGCACAGGACAGCCCCCACAGCAAAGAACTATCCGATTCATTGTCCATAGTGCCGAGGTCGAGAAACCCTGGCGCGGTGGACCTAGCATGGCTCTGGGATCAGACAGAAATGGGTCTGAATCCCACCTCCACTACTTATTCACTCCTTGACCTTGAGCATATACAGGGGTGGGCAAAAGTAGGTTGACAGTTTTTTGTATGAAAAAAGACGAGCAGGTTATGATAATTACAATAGCTTTATTAACTCAAAACAATGTCACTCGCAAGGGTAAACTTACTTCTGCCCACCCCCTGTATATAATGATATATCAGAAACATGTAAATATACTTTGGCTGAAAGAATAAATTAATTCCCTCATCACAATTTCTTCATCTTCCAAATGGGAGTGGTGACACCTACCTCATGGACAAATAAAATGATTGAGTGAATGAGATGGTTTTTAGGATTCAAGATAAAGTATATAAAGAGCACCCAACACAGTGCCTGGTGCAGGTAAGGGTTCAGGTAATTGAAGGTAAATTGATGGCAACAACGATAAACGAAACTATGCCGGAGGATTCTCCTCCTTGGCCTGAGAGTTTGCCGTTCGTGGACCTGGTTACCTGAGTTCTGTTGTCCCCCAACCCAAATCAGGTTACACGGCAGATCCATGAGCATGAGCAGGAGAACGAGTTGCGGGAACAGATGTCAGGTTATAAGCGGATGCGGCGCCAGCACCAGAAGCAGCTGATCGCCCTGGAGAACAAGCTGAAGGCTGAGATGGACGAGCACCGCCTCAAGCTACAGAAGGAGGTGGAGACGCATGCCAACAACTCGTCCATCGAGCTGGAGAAGCTGGCCAAGAAGCAAGTGGCTATCATAGAAAAGGAGGTCAGTATGTGCACGCATGCCTTCGCGCCGCGGCCGCGCCAGGCCTGTTCCGGCCAGCGGCCCCATGTTAGCAGGAGGCAGGAGGGGTGTGATTTTGGGTGGTAAAGGAACAGTCTTACTTTGGTGGGGGAATAAGGATGGTTTTATTGGGCTGCTTAAAATTATCATTAAAAATTAATAACTAAAGGTGTGTATCACATTCTTGCCTATTCAAGAATCAGCCCTTGCCAGGGGTGGGGGGTACAATTTTTGTGAAAGACGCTTATATTCTATGAAAACTTGCACACTTTGGGTCTGTTACTGTGCCTGCTGCCCCCACCATTCTCTTCACAGGAAAACTGCTCTACAGATAGTCTCTGTTAGTGGGATGCCCCCTGCCTACAGCTGGTTGGACTAGGGCTGGTCACCTGACCACTTGCAGCAAGCAATTAATCTGGCTGTTGCTTGAGTATTCTAGAGAACATTTCTCTTCCCCATTTAGGTTCTAAACTAATATTCAGAACACATGCTAGGGTAAGGTAGATAGAGAGTCGAAATACCACCTTTATTACTGATAAGTGTTAGCTGGGAGAAGTGATTTCTGTCTGAAGAAAAATTGGCCTAATCCTACTGAACAAAACCAGACCTGCGCACCCAGGCACTAGCGGTGCTAAACTGGTCTCCTCCCCTGTCACCCCCCATAAGACTTACACAGTGAGGAAAAGCAGGGTGAACTTGTGCTCCCTGGGGATGGAGTGACTGGGGACTGGATGCCAGGGGTGTTTCAGTAGTTAGATTCCCTCCACATGAAGGGAAACTTCCGAGCTGTAGAAGAAGCGTTCCCCCAACAGCCATCCATCTATGAGGTAGTCTGGCGTGAAAACCTTAGCCCAAAGAGGGATGCTGTTGATTAAATAAACCAGTCAGATTCTTTCTTGGGAATTTGACTTGGTAAATATGTGAAGACAATTGTTCGTAATGGACAAATTATAAATGGATGCTAAACGTTAGATAAAGTACATAAAAAACTACCATGAAGTATAATTCCCTCCCTAGCCGCTAAGCACCTCGTTTACATATGTGCTTCATTGAAGAGTTCCCTAAAACTTAGACTTGGTCACTTTCAGGAACCAACATTGATTGGGTTATCTTTTCGTTGGTCTGTATTCGATCCACTTAGGAGCCCCCCAAATGTCCTGGTGCCTCACTGTTGTGGATTGTATTTCATCCCACATATTTTGTGTGGGTGTGTGTATGGTTCTCCTTCACATTTTCCCCATAATTGGGAATATATTTGTCAGTGTTAAAGTTCTTGATTTTTTTACTTAAGATACAAGAAAATCAGAGCAGGCACTTTCTTATTTTGTTTTTAATTAATTATTTGTTGAAAAATGACATTATTCAGCATTTATGGACACTTTTAATGCATTGGAGAATATATAGCTGAATTCCGTGTGAAGAACAATTCATCATCCAAGGTCATATTTGTTATTTTTGCAGGCAAAGGTAGCTGCAGCAGATGAGAAGAAGTTCCAGCAACAGATCTTGGCCCAGCAGAAGAAAGATTTGACAACTTTCTTAGAAAGTCAGAAGAAGCAGTATAAGATTTGTAAGGAAAAAATAAAAGAGGTAAGAGTACCAATATTTGTAGTTACCAGTTTGCCGTTAGAATGGTTGGAACGTAAAACTGATTCATCTTACATTATGATCAATATGTAGTTTAACCCATTGATTCTCAAACTTTAACTAGATGCCTGACATGTTTATTAAAACAGACGGCTAACCCACCCTTAGACTTTCTGATTCAGTGGGTCTGAAGTGGGGTTTGAAACAGGCATTTCCAACAAGTTCCCGGGTGATGCTGATGCTGGTGGTCCAGGCACCACACTTCAAGAACCATGTGTTCTAACTCTGGGCCATTCTTGCTTGCTTCCAATTTATTCTCCACACTTCAACCAGAGTGGTCTTTTCAAACCATACATCTAGTCACGTCACTTCACGGTTTTAACGTTTAATGGCTTCCCGTTGCTCTTATAGATCAAAATACTAGAAGTCCTGACATGGTCTGCTACCAGCCTCCCCTCCAGTCTCACCTCGCACCACTGTTCTCCCCTCCTGCGTATCCCACCCCCAACTCTTCGCCACTTCCGCCACATTCGTCACCTTTTGGGTCCTCAAATATATCAAGCTCCGCCCTTTCCAAAGGTCTTTGCTCATACTGTTCCTTCCGCCAGGATGCTCTCCCCACCCCTCACCTTCAGTCCCTCCGCAACCACAATTCCGCTGTTTATTTCTACTCCTCCTCCTTGTAAGATTTAGGATTGTTTATTAGTACCTTAACTTAAATATCACTTCCTCAGGGAAGCCTTCCTGACTGCCTCAACTGAGACAGGTGCCTCTGGTTTCATAATACTAGTTTTCAATTATACATTCTTAAAATAAAATCTTTATTTATTTTTTTAAAGATTTTATTTATTTATTTTTAGAGAGAGGGGAAGGGAAGGAGAAAAAGAGGTAGAGAAACATCAATGTGTGGTTGCTCTCATGTGCCCCCAATCGGGGACCAGGCCCACAACCCAGGCATGTGCCCTGACTGGGAATCGAACCAATGACCCTCCGGTTTGCAGGCCTGCACTCAATCCACTGAGCCACACGAGGCAGGGCTCAATTATACATATGTTAGTGTTCTTTGAGCTGCTTTCCCTACTGGACTACTGGCCGAAAAGCAATATATACTGAGACCATGACTGTTTTGGGGTGGAGGTGGGGGGTGGTTTGTGTGTGGTGCGAGTTTTCTTTTTTTTTCCTGCCCATGACTGATCCCTGTGTCTGGTACATGTGAATATTTGATAAATGAATGATTAATTCTTGAATGTTGGGTTGAGGACCGTTAGCGGCCTTAGAGAGGCCTCCTGAGGAACTGCAGTTTGATCTGAAAGCTCCACTTTCTTCAGTTCTCCTTTTACCAGTACTTACAGGTGGATTGCCTTTGCCTCTGGTACCCTAGTCTTTCCTTCTCATAAGACTTAGGATTTCTTATTTGGTAACTACTAGTGTATTAAGTTTTAATAAAATTCAGTATGGGGCATTGTTCTAGTATATGAAGTCATTCATTCGGGCTCAGAGTCTAAGGTAACAATATGGGACTTAGCAAGGTTCCTCTCCATTTCTCTTTTTAACTAGGAAGTGAAAGCAAGTGTCTGGGGGTGGGGCCTCAGGACCTTGTGCCCCGCCCAGATGTGCCACTGGTGATTGTTGGGCGTGACAGAAATTCGCATTTGCTCCACACAGCCTGAGGGAAAGAATTTCTGACACCAAAAGGTCTAGAAAACCAAGCATAATGAAAAAGAGCTCAACTAATAGGGATCACACACTCTCCATTTTCTCTTCATTACCAGCTTGCGTCTAATTGTTAGATCACAATAGAACGATGTTTCTGGATCACAGAGATAACCTTAACTTTTCTCGAAGAAATTTTGAGATTTTCTCAGCTGCAAATGCATTCTTATTTCTAACGCCCTGTGCTTACTCACACCCTGGAGGCCGTACAGTAGGACTACCGCCACCATTTTGAGCTTTTGTAATACTAAAGTATTGGGAGATTGCCTGCGGGAGCTCCACCTTTGGGAGGGTCTCCCACAGAACAGCACCCAGGAGTCCCCACTCAGTCTTCAGGCATGAGGCTATTTTTGGTTCACCACACTCAGACTTATGAGTGGAAGAGACTACAGGCCTACACTCACAAGCCTTTCAACACGCTCATGAAGGAATAAACAAGCATAAACCCAGTCTGAGATAGCCTCAGTAAGCCTTTCTGTGCAAAGCTAACATTACTCCTTATGAAACTGTTTAAAGGGGCATCTATATTTAGTATTAGTATACCTAAAGGCATTGTCCTAGAGAAGACAAAACACATTATTTTCACCGTTGATAGATAACAGGGTGTGGATAGTACAGAATGATGGAGGGTCCAGAAATAATTTATTCTTGATTTTGGAGTGAATTTTTATAATATTTGAAGTTGGGTATGTGGTATAGTGGTTAACGCCAAACCTAGTGGTGAAGTCATGGCATCAAGAAATGAGTCACCTCGCCTTCCTAGTGTGAACCCAGCTTATTCCGTGCCAGAAACAGCTTACGCTCTTGTTGATTCTAGTATTTCACTTAAGACGTCATTGGAAGAGAAAAGACAACTTACAAGGACTTCTTCACCAAGTACAAAAATAACTGAAATAGTATATGATGTCTGTATTATAGAACACTAAATAAAATAGATGTTAGCCTTGGCTGGTGTGGTTCAGTGGGTTGAGTGCCATCCTGTGGACCAAAACGTCACTGGTTCGATTCCCAGTCAGAGCACATGCCTGGGCTGAAGGCCAGGCTCCCAGTTGGGGGAATGTGAGAGACAACCAATTGATGTTTCTCTTGTACATCGATGTTTCTCTCCTTCTCTTTCTCCTTCCACTCCTCTCCCTCTAAAAAATAAAATAAAATCTTTTTTAAAAATAGGCGTTAGTAATTAAAGGAGATTTCACAGAAAGAGTAGTTAACCAAGTACTACATACAGGTCAAGCTTGTCCATAGGAGCAGTATGGACAAAGAATAGTGCACTGTACTTTCTCTAAAAGTAGTCATCTTACTTTCCTCATAGATTAACATTTTAACTGTTCTAATTCACTGCTTTCTTCCCTTTACCCATACGGGCAATTATGAATTTTGTCCTTTTGAAAATATAGGTGGTTTATAATCCCAAATAAAGACTTTTTTTTCCCCCTAAAATTCAAATGAGTGACATTTGTAATTACCTCCTGTCTTTAAAATCCATCTACTTCTCTTGGTCTTTTTGCCTCCTCCTTTGTCCAAGCTGCTATCACCTCTCACCTGGACCTTTGCACTAGCCTCCTCGCCGTCTCCAGGGACACACCCTTACCTTCTTTATTCTGTTTTCCACGTGGCAGCCAGTATCTTTTTGAAATGCATCTCATTATTATGATACCCCCGTGTCAAATCCATTTCTCCTGTCCTAAAGATCAATGTCCTTAACTTGACCCACAAGACCTCTGATAGTCCTGTCCTGTCCAGCCTCCTCTCAGGTGACACTCCACGGCACTCTGGCCCTTCGGTTCTTTGAGCATACACACCATGTTTCAATGAACCCACCCTAAGCATTTTGCATATGTGGTTTCCTCTACCCAGAGTATTCTTCCCTTTCCCTTTTTTGATGATTAATGCCTATGGCTTTTTAAATTTTAGCTTAGTTGTTACCAAGGTCCAGTGTTTTCTGCTAAACATTCTTGTAGAACCAGGAACTCACTTTCAGAGTAGTTATCCCAGTACTTTCAGTTCATTTATAATGGTTCTTTGATTAATTTTTTATTCTAGACTGAAAAGCCCCATGATGGTAGATACCATGTTCTTTTATTCACCACTGCATCCTTACACCTTGCACAGTGCCTACCACATGATGGGAACTCGGTAACCGTGCATTTGATTGAATAGGTGAACAAATAATGTCTGAGAGTCGAGAAGTCAGAGACCGGGAAACTAACAAGTCTCCCTCTCACTTAATATTCAATTAACTGATTTTTTTAAATGTTGGGGGAGGGAATGTGCGACACCAAGCCTTTCTGTCTTTGCATTCTCATTTGCTTTCCGAATATTTAATCTACCATTGTAGTAAACTATGACAGTTCCTTTGACTAATGAGACCGGCATGGGTTCCCTTTTTTTTTTTTTTTTTTTCTGTGAAGGAGATGAACGAGGACCATAGCACACCTAAGAAAGAAAAGCAGGAGCGGATATCCAAGCATAAAGAGAACTTGCAGCACACACAGGCTGAAGAGGAAGCCCACCTTCTCACTCAGCAGAGACTGTACTACGACAAAAACTGTCGTCTCTTCAAGCGGAAAATAATGATCAAGCGTCACGAGGTGGAGCAGCAGAACATTCGGGAGGTATTTATGTTTCTAACTATCGTCATTGACTTATGGGACAACAAGTCTTGTGAGGATCATGGCCACATCTGTTTTGTCCATTCTTAAATGGGCTTTGTAGTCTTAAGTACAGGGCCTGACACAAAGTAGGTATACAAAGAGCCAGGGAATGAATTTACCACTGATAAGAGAAAGCCCATTCACGAAACAAGAAATCAGCTTTTTCCAAATAAATGTTACAGAGTTTTATCGAATACTCATAAGCCATATCATGCAATGGAGAATCAAAAGAAGTAGAATAACTTTTGCTTTCAGCCTGCTTTTCAAAGACTTGTGTTTTTGTGATTCCACATCAAATACTTAAAAAACTATATGATGCTCTTCAGTTAAGTTCATTCATTCAGTCACCCAGCACTTACAGAGTGCCTCTTTGTGCCAGGCCCTGTGCTAGACCCAGAGCTTCCAAGAAGCTGTGTTCCTCCTTTCAAGGAGCCCTAAGTCTAAGAGGCAAAACAGACATGTAACAGGCTAATTATAATATAATGTACTAGGTATAATAATAATAGATGTGTAAATAAAGTATCATGGGCATATGGTCATGAAAGGGCTTGCAGGATTCAGGGACTGATGAGATGCTGAGTGTCCTGGGGGTGGGGCTGCAGCGTCACGACAAGAGTAGCAGAATGTGGAGGGCCTATTTCATTTAGCCAAGGCAGTTAGATTTTAGCCTGAAGGCAGTTGCTTGGCCATCAGAGGTTTTCAAGCAAGGGAGTGATGATGAATTGTCTTATTTCGAAGGATTAATGCATCAGTGTGGGGTAGGCTGGAGTGATGAGAAGTCAAGTCCAGTGAGATCAGCTAGATGCTCTTTCTCCAGTTCTACCTGGAAGGGGCAATGAGAGTAGTGAGAAATTAGGGTTTTTTTTTTTTAATTAGCATATATCTTCCCTACCCAATACTGTAAGACTCATATAAGTTTTTGGAGATTAGATCTGAGTAACATTTCTGAAGCAGAACTGGTATGAGAATTTTAGAAGAGGGAGGAGTCAAAAATGACTTCAGAGTTTCTAAGTTGGGAAATTGGATGAATGTGATGTTTTTCACTGAGATGAGGAATAGGGAATGTGAATCAGTTGCAGATACAGAGTTCACCAGGAAATCACTGTGACCTGGAATAGTCAGAGAAAGAGAAGCCTCACAAATGAGCTAGCACGTTGGTAAAAGCACCACGTTTGATCAAACCCAGTGTTCTCCTGCATGAGGGCAACAAGCATCACAGGTACATTTAACGGGAATGTGAATTGGTGAAACTTTTTGGAGAGCAGCATTCAAATGGGAGGGCAAAAGGGTGGCACAAACTCAAATTCATTGACCACATGTAATTATGGGCCAGGCTGAGACTTCATCCGTGTTATCTCATCTTACTGGAAGAAGGAGAAACCGCTGAACACTTTTGAACCAGTCAATGATACAGCTAAAATTTTACTTTGGAGAGATCGGCCCAGTTTGGTGGCCACACACACAGTGATTAGAGAGAGCATGAATTCTCAGGGGGGTGAAATGGTTCCTGTGGGGGGGGGGGAGTCCCCTCTGAGGGGGGCCCTCTGAAGGGCCAGGTACTAAACAGATACACAGTCTATCTGTGTATTTTCGTTTCAGGGGTGGTGATGGTCAGGGAAGGGGGAAATCTGAAAGGGCTCCTGATAAGGACAGTCATGGGGGGAAATGTTGAGAAACACTGGATTGAAGGGAAGAAGCGAAAAGCAAAGAAATCAGGTGGTAGGAAATAGGGCATAAACAAAGATGGCAGTGGTAGCTATTAAAAGAATGGTAGGTTTGAACCCTGGCTGGTGTGGCTCAGTGGATTGAGCACTAGCCCGTGAACCAAAGGGTCACAGGTTCAATTCCTAGTCAGGGCACATGCCTGGGTTGCAGGCCAGGTCCCCAGGTGGGCGCGCATGAGACACAACCACACATTGATGTTTCTTCCCCCCTTTCTCTCTCCCTTCCCCTCTGTCTAAAAATAAATAAATAAAATCTTTTTTAAAAAAAGACTGTTAGGTTTGAAACATATTTTGAGGTATAAAGGAAGCAGGACTTAGCATATGATAGGATATGAGAGAAAAGATGAAGGCAGAATCAAAGTTATTTCTAGGGCTTAAGACCTGGGGAAATGCAGATTTGGGCAGAAACAAAGAAGCTTACAGAGAGGTGTTGGTAAGAAACCAATTAATTCAGTACTAGACATGCTGAGTGTGTTGGAAGACAAAAAAGTCCAAATGAGAAAGCCCAGTAGCCAGCTGGAAATAACATGTTTGGGATTCTTTTCATCTGGCAATTATTACTGTCATTCTGATAGCACATATTTAGAAAAAGTCTGAGGCTGCGGGGACAGTTAATGCCCATAAATGCTCTAGGAGACCATTATTCCCCCAGAATGAGAGAAACTCTATTCATGACTTCATTAATACCCAGTTGGTTCTAACCAACTGAGCAAAGAGTAGCTCTATGAGGGTGTTTTTCTTAAGAGTCCAGATTTTCTTTTGTTTGGTCTTATTCCAGAGCCTTCTTCATGCAAATGTTCAGTTTTTCTTTCTGTTTACAAAAGTAATCAAAGAACATTGAAAAAAAAGACAAGTAGAGAAAAATACGAAGTTCAGTACTAAAAGTTCTTGATATCCCCATCCCATCCAATCTCTACCCTGACACAGTCACCATTAATTTGGCACATATATTTCCATATTTCCAGGAGGTTTTTTTCTGTAGATATATGAGAGAAGACCCTAAAAAAACAATTAATTTTTGAAGGGTGGGTCCCATTTAGAGCATGCTTCCTCTGCTAGGTGAGTGTTCTAGGAACCCTTCTGTATCAGTGTACCAGCTGGCATTGTTGTAAGAGGCTGTGTTCAGCCTCAGAGAATTGTTTTTTTCAGACCCTTTCACCGTGTTTGCCCATTTCATGGTGAGTGATTGAAAGCACACCTGCCCACACCATGCTGAGTGTTCAGTTTTTGACCCAAAACGGCATGACCCCCATTCCCTACTCTTCCTATTCACGCGATCGCACCCCAAGCAACCTTTTTTGTTTCCCCAGATAAAAAAAGAAAAAGTCCTCAAAGGAAAATATTTTGCCAATGTGGTATAGGTGAAACAAAAAACAGCAGAAGCACTAGAAGACACACCAAAGTCAATGAGTTCAAAAACTGTTTTGAGCAGTGGAAAAACTGTCTCGATAGGTGTATTGCATCAAATGGAGAGTACTTTGAAGGTGACTGAAGTTTAAACATGTAAGAATAAATACACAAAATGTTATAAATAAATTCCAGGGTTTTGGGTTCCCCCTCTATATATTCATAACTACTGCTTATATATTATGTAGAACTTTAGCTTTACAAAATAAGGTTGCATTCATATCAGTGGTTCATTTAATGTGTTAAGCAACAGAAACAAACTGGCTGACTTAGTATGGAGAGGTATTTATCAGAAGGTTAACAGGATAGATGACGGAGCTGAAGAACCACACTGGAAAAGATGAAGAACCAAGCTGGAAAAGCAACTTCCATGACCCAGAGAGCAAGAGCCAATGGGCACTGGTCAAGACACCCCCTTCTGAATGCGTTTCCTCCAACCATGTTTAATTTTTGTGTCATTGCTGCTTAGGATCCAAATTGCCAGGAGAGAGAGAACGTGACTGAGTAACATGCTTACTCCCTTAATTCCTGATTCCAGAAAGGGTGGAGTAGTTTTTCGGAAAAAGAGAAGCCTGTTAACAAAAGAAGGGGAAAGAGCTACTGAACCTACAAAAAAAAAAAATCCACATATGTACTATGCTGTTCTGTAACTTTATTTTTCATCTACTATCTAGGACATACAGCTCTACCTTGTTCTTTTTTCAACCATTAATAGTATTTTTGGCTATAAGATTATTTATTTGATGACATGCTTCTCAGTGGATATTTTGTTGAAGTTTTACAGTATTACTAACAATGCTACGGAGAACATCTTTGTACAGAGATCTTTTTACACATATGCAAGTATTTTGTAGGATATATTCTCACAGGTGAAATTTCTGGCTCAGAGTATATGCATCTAGATTTTTAACAGATATTGCCAATTGACCTTAAAAGCATTTATACTCCCACCAACAAGGAGTACCTGTTTTCCTATATCTTTGCCAAAATTGAATATTAGCAATCCTCTAATTAATAAACAACATTTTTGAAAGATCACCATCGACTAGGTTGAGCCTCTTCCACTCTCATCTCTGCACGCAGATGCCCACTCTTTTCTAAGCAATTATGAAACTAAGAACTGAAACTAAGAAAGCATGAAATGTCTTAGGCTAACAACATCACCATTTAAGATTTTGAATTTCAGTTCTTATTCAACCTCAGTGGGCATTGGCACAAAAATTTTGACTGGAGTGAGATCAGCTGCTTTTAAAGAAGTCGGTAGCACTTGGACTGAAGTGGAGTGAATGGGTCACAGTGGGAAGGGTTTATGAGGGGACACACCCTGGATCCACATCTTAACGCAGGAGGCAGATTCCCATAAAGTTTGGTAATGTGCTCAGCGACCATGGTATATGAGAATACCTGTGTTTCGATACTGAGCTCACACTCAGCTTGGCAAGATGCTCAAAGCACACAAGGTCTCCCCTTTCACACTCCTGCTGGGCACACATGCACTGAGCATACGCTGGTGGGCAGAATCACCTGTACCATTGCATCTGTTTTTGTATTTTTTTTCTCAGCTCACTTTGTTGAGTTTGTATAAGCTAATGGTACACATGGTGTGGCTCTACCGTAAACTGTCCGTTGTACAGATGAAGTAACCATTGCAGAGGGTCTAGCTACAGAAGAGGAATTCTTCAGAATATTGTATCACAGACTGAAAAGGCATAAAACAGAAAAATATAAGCCTTCACCAGGACATCTTTTAATGGAAAATGTTGAAAATCTATAAACCTGAGTTTTAGCCTCATTTCTATAATCCCCAAATTCCTTACTGTCATATATTAAAGGGGTAAATTCCTATAACCTTACCACTACATTGGGTTGCAACTAGGATTAAAATATGTGAAGTCATTTTTAAAGCTTGAAAGCACATTTCACATTATTATGTAGGCACAGCACTGGGCTCCTAATAAGCTGAGTGATTTTTTTCACTGCGGTTTACAATATTACAGGCAGCTCACCAACTTACATCTTAGCAACTCGATGTGGGAATTAAAGGTAAATGGAACAACCTACTATTATAACAGAAAAGCCATTTCAATATCATGGGGTTTTTTTCCCTCTTCTAATAGTTTATAAAAACTAGTTTTAAGACATTCACTTCTGAATACAGAAGCATAATAATGACATGTTTATGTATCACGAAGCATTTTCTTATGGTCTTTCATTTCAACTTCACAAGAATGGTAGCTCACAGTGGAAAAGTTATCCTCCCTTTACACCTGTGGAAACTAAAACATAGACTGAGAGACGTGCCCAAAGCCATGTATGAGTCAATGGAAGAGCTGAAACTGACTCACACCCTGAATATTTTTCCATTGATTCTCAAACTTTAGTACATGTCAGAATTAGCTGAGTGGTTTGTAACCCAGAAAGTTACGATGGACAACATCCGGTAGCATTCCATTACATGTAGAAAGAAGCATTTGATTTCTTCTCAAAGTATTGTTTGCTTTGCTCTTTTAATTTCCCCCCGAGGTTCAGAGCTCTGGGCAGCTCAGACACGATGTGGACTTCTCAGTTTAGGAAAATGTGGAATGGGTAAATGCCCAATATTGAGAGGCCTGGTACTCAAAGGTTCAAAATGCTATAGTGACCCAGGAACAGGACATTAGTCCATTTCAAGGGCTTTCCTTGGCTTTCCCTTGGTCATTGGACTGGATGGAAGAGCTTTAGTCTCTGGGAAGGGCTCATTGTCCTTTAGTGCCACCTAGGGGCCAGTTAGTGACTTTTAAAAGGAGGCATTTGATGGCCCAGGTAAAGAAAAATAAAGCAAAGAAAAGAAAAATGCAGGAGGAGATTGAAGGACATGCTCTGGGATATTATCTTTTATACCTTAAAGCAAGTGTAAGTTTCACTTCTAATATGTTCTCACTAGAAAACACCTCCATACAGGGAGTGTACTTGTTCACTACTCTATCCCTCATGCCTGCAACAGTTCTGGCAAAACAGTTCTGCCATGCTTAACAACGACTTGCTGAATACACAATAATTAACACCTTCGCTCTAGTAATAGATGCTGGGCTGTTTAAAGGCCTTCTCTTCAAATGGATAGAAGGCCTAACTAAGCATACAAGATATTCTCATCCATACCAATATAGAAATGTTACTGATAATTCTATGAGAATAAATGCTTGCATTTTTCTCCATAGTGGATCGCATTAGAGAAGAGGCCCCCTGTTGTTCTAATTTAACGGCCAGCTCAAAAGCTTTCCCCTTTCCTCGGCCTTTTTAACTAGTAGTAATATCACCCTTTTGAGCACTTCTTACAGCATAAAATCTTTACCTCTTTCACAGCACTTAACAAACACTTCCAACCGTGCTCTCTTTTTAAAATTTACACATAAAATTTATTTCCCTGTGTTAATGAAGGTTCTTTGTTTGCATGTTATTAAAACTTATTTGAGCTAACTTAAGCCAAAAGCAGGGAATTCGCTACAGAAACATAGGAATGTTTCATAAAACCCAATTGCAATGATACAGCCGAAGCTACAGTCTGCTTCGAACCAGTCAGGAACTTGGGCCTCAGTGTATCCCCCACACTCCCTTCTTCTCTCTTTTTCATTCTTACTGGCAAGTCAGCTGTCCTCTAGTCATTCAGCCCTTGTAGCGGTGGATGGCTGCCACATGTAGGTTTTATATGACCCTCTATTCTAGCTGTATGTAAAGGTTAACTGTCTCTGAATCCCAGTTCCAAATTTCTAGTAAAGACAAAATAGATTGATTCCTTTACCTGTGAGCTGAGCATATACTTCAACATGTGTCTGTTATAATTCCCTAGTAGAGTGTTAGCTACTTGAGGACGAAGTCATGGCTTAGTAAATATTTTTATACACCCAGAGTACATGGTTCAGATTGTTTAATACAGTGCCATTCAGGAAATTTTCTTGAACTGGTGAATGAAAAAAAATTTGTTCACCATCGCCCTCCTCCCTTTTCTTTTTCTGGTTTCCTTTCTTTCCCCCCTTCAACAAGAGAGAGAGAAAGACATGAGTAGAATTGGAAAGAGCAGAATGATTAGAACTAGAAATGACCAAACAGACTCTAACGGACAAGATGAAAGGAGCGAGGTCTCTGCTTTTCCCCAGCATGCTGTGAACTCTGAGATTTTAAAAAAATAGACAATTGGCCTACTTCTGAAACATACAAAGAAAAACCAACAGGGTATTTTCCCATAAGAACATTGCTTCAGCAATTCCCAGCTCTGTCTATTAGAATCACCTGGGGGCCCTAAAAATATTGATGTCAGGGTCCCACCTCAGACAATTATCTGAACTTCACATTGTGGGATTCAGTCGTCTTATGTTTTACAAGCTTCCTCACATGATTTTAATGGGCGGCCAGGGTGGAGAACCACTGGTTTCACTGAAGAAACACTTATTTAGACCTGTGCATAGCACACCGTCTAATTAAGGGTCACAGCAGCTCTGTAAGGTAAGAAGGGCTCAGTGAGAATTACAGTGGTACCTTAGCCCTCGGCTTCAGAACTCATCAACCCCGGTACTTGTCCCATTTGGACTAGAGAAAATGTTTCAGCACTCAGTGCTTGCTTGCCACTCATCACACTTGCTAGAACTTGTATGAGTCACGACGCCACCCCACAAGAGAAAATGCTTCATCAGTCATCACTTGCTCGCCACTCGTCAGAATGAGTTAACGAGTACCGAGGTACCGCTGCAATCCCATTTTACAGAGCAGTTGTAATGGCTGTGAAGTTGCCCATCTTGTAAAAATGGTGGACCTACATACAGAACCTAGATCTGTAGGGACCGCTAATCTAATCTCATTAGGTTGTGCTGCCAAAAACTAGCGGGTTTAGTTAAGAGGGTTGGTAGTGCCATTCCCTGCCATCCCTCAGCTGTGAATCCCATCCAGGCCGTGTCCATTCACCTCTCTCCATTTATCTCTCTTTATTCCTGCGCGCAGGAACTGAATAAGAAGAGGACCCAGAAGGAGATGGAGCATGCCATGCTCATCCGGCACGACGAGTCCACCCGAGAGCTGGAGTACAGGCAGCTGCACACGCTACAGAAGCTACGCATGGATCTGATCCGTCTACAGCACCAGACTGAACTGGAAAACCAGCTGGAGTACAATAAGAGGCGAGAAAGGGAACTGCACAGAAAGCATGTCATGGAACTTCGGCAACAGCCAAAAAACTTAAAGGTAAGAGGACACTAAAGCACTTCCCTGTCCGTGCTGCCAGACAGGGCTGGGCCGAATCAGCAGTTCCTACGTGTGGATGATTGTCAGTCACCTGGGCAGCTTTTCAAAATTACAAGTTTCTGGGCCCCACGCCTGCTGAATGAGACTCTTCAGATGTGAAGCACAAGACTCTGTACATAACAAACTCCTGAGGAGACGCTGCTGGGCAAGCTGGTTTGACAGCCTCTATACGAGATGATCGCTCCCTTTTTCTTTATATGCATTATGCAGTTTCTCTGACCTCTTCGTGACCTGCCCTTTTAAAAATTGTAATGTATGGACCAACAACATAAAACCAGGAAATGAGAAAGTTCCCTGGTAGTTACAGGGCAGATAAACTGCGTCTGTCCTACCAGTCACATGATTGGTAACAGCACACACTACCTCGAGTGCTACTGTATTGAGAAAGACTCCAAAGCCACAGCCAAGCTTTTAAGAAAGAGTATGATCTATTAGTGACATCCGTCATGGGCGTGGGGATCAGGCATGAATCTAGATGTGCCGGGCACTTACTACCCTGCACCAGGGACCGGAGCTCCTCTCGCCCTCACTGCCTTCAGATCATTCTAGCTGGCTGCCAAGTGAATGCTCTGCACTACGTGGGCCAAACTGTTGCTCTGTGTCAAGGGAGACATTATCAGTGTTGACACAGACATCAGGCCAGCGTCCATCACTCCGGTCATACTCCTGTCTAGCCAAACCCCAACGTGTCTACTTAGTGATCCCTGTCATCACAGCTCCTCCAAGTGCTGGTGAAATGTGCATGTGACTATGAGGCGAGCTGGTGGAACGCCTTCTAGACTCTTCACACACCCACTCCCCCTTGCCAAAGTGCATATTTGATATCGCTACACACACGCACGGCCTCTGAATGGGAGGGGGATAGCTAAAACCACTTTCCTTCATATTGAGGCCGAAATTGAATGGAATGGTCAAGACAGAGACACAGCAGTGAGAGCTGGCTTTATACACTGCCACCCTTTTTCTCACTTGGAAATTGAGGGGAACATGGGGTGAAACAATAAACTATAGAAGACACTGAAGATTTTGAGTAGGAAACTTAAAATAATGAGCAAACTTTTAACAAACTGAGCTTCATAGTATGCCACCATCTGCTCAGAGTCGTGGTCCCCTTGTAACAATTCATATTTTTAATCCACTCAGAAATACAAAATTACTTCTACTTATTTAACATAAAACCAAACGTATCGATAGAGTTAGCTCTTGTCTGTGTCATGTGTATTACTTTCATTATTATTGACCAGTAATGTGTGTCACTGCTCCTAAAGACAGACCGTCCCAGCAACTGTATTGCATTATTACAATGGGAACCTTTCTGTATTTACTGATGTGTCTTTTTTTTTTTTGTCACTTTTTCACACAGGCCATGGAAATGCAAATTAAAAAACAGTTTCAGGACACTTGCAAAGTACAGACCAAACAGTATAAAGCACTCAAGAATCACCAGTTGGAAGTTACTCCAAAGAATGAGCACAAAACAATCTTAAAGACACTGAAAGATGAGCAGACGAGAAAACTTGCCATTTTGGCAGAGCAGTATGAACAGAGTATAAATGAGATGATGGCCTCTCAAGCGGTAAGTGGTTAGGTTCGGTGCCACGGCCTCAAGAGCTTTGGGAATCAAGAAAACTCAAGATCCAGCCTTTTGTTCCCAAGATGATTCTTGCACAAGTTTAGGATATTGGTGTGTTTCTGCCCCGAGAACTGAGGAAGTGACGATGCTGAACGAAGCCAAGCCGATGTGGATGGTTGCTGGAGTGTGTCTTCCAAGCTGGAACTCAAAGGAGTACCGTGCTAAATCAGACCTGTGGCACGTAGGGGCTTTGAGGGCAGGATGTGATAGATTCCGCACATAATACCGTATTTGCATTCATCAAAGGGTACTCAGCTGATGTCGCACACAAACCAACAAGATGCACAGACACATTCACTCAATAAACTTTGACTAAGTATCTGTGTTCAGCACCTGCTGGGCTCAGAGGTAGTGTGAGCTAGAGAGACAGCTGTTGGTCCCTGTCCTCACACTTGAGTCAGGCGAGCAAGAAGGTCAGATGATTAAGCAATAAAAATAAAGCATAGTAAGTGCTTTGAAGTGGGAGTCGAAGGGCTGTGGAGGATAAGTAGGAACAGTGAGTCTAGTCTAGAGAAAGCTTCCCAGCAAGAGCCAAGAAGCCTGAAGAAACTCACTTAAGTAGACAGGTTCCATGGGAAGGAACCTACATAGGCAGAGGTCCAAAAGTCGGAAAGTGTGCGTTTGGGGACCCAGAGAACTTTGGCAGGGGCTCAGATGTTAAGGAGAAGGATTGTGGGAGCCCCGGATAGAGAGGTCATAAAGGTCCTGGTTTTCCAGGGATGGGAGCTCACCTGACAATCTGTGAAGATTTCACAGAGAGATGAGTCTTGAAGAGTAATAGTTTGCCAAGCAGGCAGAGAAGGAAAAGTCATTACTGGCAAAGGATACCGTGTATGCAAAGATTCAAAACCCTGAGAGTGGATGGCACGTTCGAGGTGCCGTGAGTTGTCGATGTGGCAGGAGCATAAAGGGAAGCAGGAGCGCAGCCAGGGGTCGGATCCTCAGAGGCCAGGCGCTCAGACGTTATTGGAGAAGCAGAGGAGAGCCCCCGAGGCCTGCAGTAAGAAGGAAAGTGACAGGATCAGATCTGTGCTGTGGAAAGACACTTGCCAGTAGTGTGGCAAATGTGGGTAAAGAGACCTGTTAGGGTCTTTTTGTAATAATCCCAGAAAAAAGAGGAACAAAGGCCTAAACTAAGAGAGAACATGCTCATGGAGATAGTGAGGAAGGAGGAGGATTTGAGAAACGTTTAGGAGGCAGGAATATTTAAAAGATAGAACTCAGTGACCATTTGGAAGGTAGGTTCGATAACAGTGAGATGGGTCATCATTTTACCAAGACAAACAAAAGGAGGGGTGAGTTTGGATGCCCGGTGGATAACTGGGTAAGTTGTGGGCATGTTACCTGAGCTTCACGGGTATCCAGGTAAAGAAGGGCAGAGATGGAAATCTATAGTTTGAGAGAGTGTCAGGATTAAAGACAAAAAGCCAGGTACCATTATTATATGGCGGCAGTGGTAGCTTTAGGAATACCTGAGATCTTCTAGGGACAGGAGATAGTGTCGGAGAGAGAGGGGACTGAGGACAGAGTTGCGGACACCCCCGTGCGAGGGCTGAGTAGAGGGAGACCAAAGAAGATGCACCCTTAGCGATGCGGAACGGTAACCGGAAAGAGTGGGTGGCAGAAGCCAGAACAAAGGTTCCTAGTTGACTTCAGACGCTGCAGAGAGACCAGTCGGACCCCGCAGTGGGTTTGTCCAGTGGCTGGCACAATCACCGGAGTGGTGGGAATGGAAGGCGTGACAGTGCACCGACAAAGTTACTGTGAGTGAGGTAGAAGCTGTAAGAGAGATCGCTTTTCCCAGATACCTGTCCATGAAGGGAAGGAGAAGGAGAACTGTAGGTAAAGGAAGAGACAAGTAAAGGAAGACTTCCGTTCACTGGGAAAGTCTTAATACGCATGTCCTTAGGCTGAGGACAGGAGCCAGTGGGTTCATTCTTTCCCTCGTTTATCCAATAAGTATACATGGAGTGTCTATATACGGTGCCCCCGGCATCCCTCACGCCGTCATGGAATCTATAGAAAAGTGGAGGGAACAGACGTTGAAAAAAGCCTACTTGTTGTGACGGCAGCGCAAGTGCAGTGTGCTCACAGAGTAAACCTGGAGAGGCAGGAAGGGTCTCTCAGACACCCAATGGCCATTTGAGGGGAAGTGCAGGGAGCACATTCCAGGGGAAAGGAACTGCATTGGTCAAGGTGGGAAAGATGGCGGTCCTTTTCTAGAACTCAGAAAAGTCCATTATGCTTGGAGTCAAGAGAACAGGGGGGAGCCTAGCATGAGAATAAGCCTGGAGGGTAAGCAGGCTAGATGGTGTAGGGGCTTGCTAGCTTTCTTAAGAATTTTTATCTTTATCTTAAAAGCAATGGCAAGCCATTGATGAGTATTAAGGAGGCAACTGACGTCAGATTTGCATTTGTGAACGATCACTGATGACCTGTGGAGGGCAGCCTGATTGATGGCAAGAGCGATATAAGGAGAGGGAGAGAGAAAAAGATAAGGGCAAGAGGGAGAGGAGGCTAGAGCAGAGACAGGGCAATTGGGATAAAGGAGAAGTGACCACAGTTGAGAGGTAGGCAGGAGATGGAATTGCAAACGTTTAGTAACAGACTGAACGTGGAGAGTGAGGTACTAAGGATGACTCCCACTGTCTAGTTTGAACAAAATGGTAGATGGTGGTACCATCTACCTGTGTGGTTAAAAATAATTTTTTAAAAAAAGGGAAGTGGAGCAGACTGGGGAAGCAGGAAGGGAAAGATGAGTAATATCAAGTTGTGTTGAGCTTGAAGACCTGGGAGACATCCAGGTGAAGATGTCTCTAGTGGACTGCATCAGCTAGCGGGGACCTCAGAAGAGAAGTCTGAAACAGGTACAGATGTGGGGGCTATCTGCATGTGGATGGTAACTGAAGCCTTTGAAATCGATGAGAGTCCTTAGGAGGCACGATTAGAGGAACTGCCCATGACCAAGCCCCAAGAAACCCCCATATTTAATGTTCTAGTTAGGCAGGGAGTAGCTGGGAAAGGAGAGAGGGAGGAAAAAAAAAAACCAAGAGGGTGTGTGGTATCTCAGAAGACAAGAGAAAGACTGCAGGAAGAAAGGGGCCATGCACAATATCCAGTGCTTCCTGGGAGGTCAGGTAAGATGAAGACCCCTTCAGGGTGGTCCTCAGTGACCGCAATGTGAGCAAGTAAGTAGGGGAGCAGGGTCAGAATGAGGAGTGCAAGGTGGGGCACGCAGAGAAGGGCGAAGGTAAGGAGAAGGGGAGAGCGCTGATAGGGACAGAAACATTGATTGGATTTCTGTCGTGTCCGTCTGCATTCTCAGCCTCTGCATCCGTGCCTGGCAAGCAGCAGGCGTTCGATGGACATTTGTTACCTGAAGTGGGCGATGACGGGTCAGGAGTGTAGGTTCATGATTGCCTGTGGGTGAAACGAGAGAGAGGCCCTTTCCTCTGATGCAGGAAGGGGATGAGAGTGTGTGTGTGTGATCATCACAGCCATCCTCTGCTAACTGCTCCCCATGTGCCAGGCACCGTTTTCAGTGTTTTCTAAGTGTTACTTCATTTTTTGTGAAACCCCTTTGAAGTTGTTATATACTCTTTCAATCCTAATTTACCTATGAGGGAGCGAAGGTTTATTGAAGTAAAGCTGCTTGCTTGGGGCAGAAGTTGGCCGACTTTTTCCGTAAAGGGCAGACGGATAGCATTTCAGGCTTTGAAGAGCACGGACCTCTGCCACCACTGCTCACCTCCATCACTGTCGTGTTGTACAAAAGCGACCACAGACAATGCGTAACCGAGTGAGCACGTCTGTGTTCCAGTAAAATGTATTTACAGAAACAGGCAGCAAACCGGATTTAGCCCTGGGGCTGTCGCGTGCCCACTCCTGGCTGGGGGTGTCACACGACGCACGAGACGGAGCCAGGACTGGGGCCCGTTTTCAGAGGAGCCCGTGTGGTTCATTGTGGCTACATTATGCTACCTCCATCACATCCTTTTCTTCCCTTTATCCACTTGATAACACAGATGTGATATTTACCTCTACTTTTATTTGTAAAACTTTGTAATGGATTTTGTACGTGCAGCTTTTGGGGGATCGATACCGAATACTGGAATATCCTGATTTCTAGACTGGCGCTTTTGTAGAGTCAGAGCTGGTGCGGAATATCGTAGCTACTGTCGTTAATAGTAGAACGCCAGAAGTGAGAGGGGATGGAGTTGTTTCAGTGGTCTGGACTGCACAGGATGAGCCTCACCCGCTCAGCCGGGGCTTGTAGCAGTTAATGCAGACGAGTAGAAACCAGTAGACTTTCATTCCCTTTGTTGGTAAGGAACCTCCCATGTCAGGAGGAAATCAAGAACAGTCTCACTGGGAGCCAGCAAACCTTCTGGCATTGATCTGTAAGGCTGTTCCCGCTGCAGATTGACTGTTCATTATGTCTAGTATTTCTTCTGCCTCCCTTCTCACTGGGAAAATGAGAAGAGAGAGCTCCTCTTTAGTGGGTTTCACTGAAAGCTGGTTAAGATTAATTATTGGAAAGCACCTTGGATGTATGATTCCATTATATTTTTGTTAATTTGCTTTAGGGCATTTGTCCAAAAGTACTAAAGAAGACACTATGCAAATAACCTTCTAAAACTATTCTAATAACATTTCAAAAAGTCAATTCTCGATCAACATACTGAGATAGATTGTTAGTTGTCTTGCCCATCTGTGTCTTCTCAGTATTGTACAGATAAGGAAGAAAGCATAGGTAAACAGCTATCTTGGCAAAGTGGTCTGTATATGTGAAAACATGCAGATAAACTCAAGGTAGTACCGTCTGATTGAAGGGTTCTAATCTCAGAGTTCCCAGCGGAACTGAGGGCCTGCTAAATCTAGACAAAACCAAGCCCGGGACAGGAGCACCGTCATCCCTAAACACTCCTGTTCACGGCCGCACACCATCAGCTACACCCCCCGAAAGGTCGGCCTTTCTGCTGGCTGGCTCGGCTCCACACAGGATCGGTATCCTGGTGTCTAACAAACACAAAGTTCAGGGGCTACTGGGAAGCCAGGGGAACTTTATCAGGTGGGTGTATAATCTGGACTTGACTGCTTCAAATCAGAATACGCCCCTTCCGATTATTGAGGCTAGCTCCTGTGTGTGCGGAGGAGATTGGGAGCCACTTGAGTGTTAGATTGTCTGGCCGGCGGGATAACATGTAGCTGAACACAGGGGTGGACACTACTTGCTAGGAATGTAACAGTGCTGTGGTGAGTCCCTCAAGTTTTAGGAGATTGGCTCATTTTCTTTCTTTTAGAGCTAAGGATATCTAAGTGTATTATGGATTTGTGGCTAAAGACATCTAAATATCGAAATGATTAGTGAAAACCAAAATAATGATAACAGCAACTATTTACTGAACACTTGGTATACATCAAGAACGATGCCTAGGATTTTATATGAATTATTTTATTTAATCCTCCCACTGATCTTAGACACTTATGGTTTAGACTTACTTTCCTGAGATGGAAAAAAAAAAAATGAGACTGGGAGAGGTTAAGTAACTCGCCAAGATGACACAGCTAAGTGAATGGTGGAGCTAGAGTTCAGGTTCAAGGGTCTGCGTCCAGAGTCCCCGGTTTAATCACTGGAGTGGGTAGCATTCCTGACTCCTGCTAGTACGGTTTTTCTTAAGAATGTTTTTTTAGGAAAGAATGTTTTAAGAACATGTTTTTAGAAGTGTGCAGCCCGTCGGGCAGAGTGTACTGTCTATTTTTGATTCCTGACTCTGGAGGTGCCCAGGGCATCCTTTTCTGAGGGAACCTGTTGTAACCCAAACGCTGAAACGCCTTCCAGTAGTCCCCGAGTGCCGTGAGCTGGGAGTGAATTACAGCGTGTGTCTTCTGTGCCCGCAGTTACGGCTAGATGAGGCTCAAGAAGCAGAATGCCAGGCCTTGAGGCTACAGCTCCAGCAGGAAATGGAGCTGCTCAACGCCTATCAGAGCAAAATCAAGATGCAAACAGAGGCACAACACGAACGTGAGCTCCAGAAGCTAGAGCAGAGGGTGTCTCTGCGCAGAGCACATCTTGAGCAGAAGGTACGGGCGAGTCCCACGGGGCCTGTGCAGCTGGGTGGAGGGCGGGACACGGCCTGGGGAACCCCCGCCGGCTGCGCAGCCCTGCCTGTGTGCCTGGCGGTTAGAGCAGGCCCTGCTCACTCACTACCTGCTTTTACGCTCCTGGCATCCAAGAGGTGGGCGTAATCTCCATTCTGCAGGCGGTTAGGTTACGGGTACAAATCTGATCCCAGGGCCAAAGCTCTTTCTCTGCCTCTGCTGGGAAACTCCCCACCTTCACAGCCAGAGGAATACATGGCTTGCTGGGTCGTTGATATGACGTGTGAAAGGCACTACAAGCTGATAGCATGGCTGCTAAATGGCATGAGGAAGCCAAGTGCAGTTTTGGCTTTTATTTTTAGCTATTTCTAAACGAAAAGAAATCACCAGCAGGGCTCTTTTAAAAAATTGAAATGAAGAGAGGTTGATATTGCCATGCATAATAAATGTTATCGGAATTGAAATATTCATTGCTTTAAATATTGCCGAGGAATATGAAGTAGAAAAGATTTCATAAAGCATCTCAAAGCTGTTAAGCATTTATTTGCTTAACTAGTTATTTGTGCTTTCCTCCGGTAGTTCCCTGATACCACGTAAGAGACTGTTGCCCCAGCTCCTGTTCTAGAACTAAATTGCTAATGACCCAAGGGGCATGTGGCTGGCTCTCTGTGGGATCGTGGCACAATCTAATTGTGCTTTGGTGTATTTTACCTTCTCCTGAGCCATCTCCTGCTGAGACAGGACACTGACCTAGATCAGCCCAGCTGCTCAGCTTGCTGGAATGGCAGCGGGAGCCCCAGTGAGCCCCGGACATGTTTATTCTCATGAGCAAGTTTTAAACATAATGGGTTAGATACAAGACATTCGTCACAGGACCCTCCCCGCCTGTCCGTCTGGTTTACCCTAGCTCCTGTGTTCGTGGCTGTGTGCACATGTATGTGCACATGTGTGCGCGTGGGTACCTGTCGGGAGATCCTCTCCATTAAGATCTGCTCACTGTGCTTATTTCAGATTGAAGAAGAGCTGGCTGCCCTTCAGAAGGAACGCAGCGAGAGAATAAAGAATCTATTGGAAAGGCAAGAGCGAGAGATTGAAACTTTTGACATGGAGAGCCTCAGAATGGGATTTGGGAATTTGGTTACATTAGATTTTCCTAAGGAGGACTATAGATGAGATTAAATTTTTTTGCCATTTACAAAAAAAAATAATAATAAAACAAAAAAATTCCGACCCTGCAAAACCACATTCCCCATTTTAACGGGCGTTGCTCTCACTCTCTCTCTCTCTTACTCTTACTGACATCGTGTCGGACTAGTGCCTGTTTATTCTTACTCCATCAGGGGCCCCTTCCTCCCCCCGTGTCAACTTTCAGTGCTGGCCAGAACCCGGCCACCTCTTCTACGCATAGTACACGTCACAGTATTGATGTGATGCAAAACGTTTCAGTGGAAACTTGGAGACAGTTTTAACAAAACCAATAAACCAACAACAACAAAAAAAGTGGACGTACGTTGCTTTAAGCAATCACTCATTACCACCAATCTGTGAAAGTAAAGCAAAAAAAAATAATAATAATAATAATAAATGCCAAGGGGGAGAGAGACACAATATCCGCAGCCTTACACCTTAACTAGCTGCTGCATTATTTTATTTTATTTTATTTTTTTGGTATTTATTCATCAGGAATTAAAAAAAAAACAAAGTTTTATTAAAGATTGAAAATTTGATACATTTTACAGAAACTAATTGTGATGTACATATCAGTGGTGACATATTATTACTTTTTTGGGGATGGGGGGGTGGGTGGGGTGAAGAGATCTTGTGATTTTTAAGAACCTGCTGGCAAGAGTTTAACTTGTCTTCAGCATATTCTGATTGTATCATAATCATTTTCTGCTGTTGCAGAGGATGTGAATACACTTAAGGAGCTCACAGAATCCCAGTAGCACAAATTGGGCTTTGGCAAATCGTGTATTTTGTGTATAGAAGGAATTTAAGGAGAGGTATTACTTATTTTCATATTGTATTTTAACTGTTTCTCTGATCAAATTTTTTTACTTCCTCCTCCTCTTCCTCCCCACCCCCCCTCCTTTTCCAGTTCAGTATCTGGAGTTCAACACTGTCTCTCAATCAGATCATCTTGATCTTTTTCTTTATTTCCCTTCCCCTCCCTAAGTCCCATATCTTGGTCATAAATATTGCATTATTCACACTTTCAAACTGTGTATTTTCTTACAATAAAAAATGATGAAAAAAAAAAGGCTTTACTTCTTTTGCATGCACTTTAAAAAAAAAAAAAACATTTTTCAGGTTCCAAGGAAGAGCATGATAACTGTCAGAGCTTTTAATTATATTTGTAAATAAAAGTGTTCATCACATCGCCTTGCTGTGTTATTGTAGCAGGAAGTTTCCCTTCTAGGTTTGCCGGCTCCTAATTCAGACGGAGAGCCACCTCCAGAAACTCCTCTCCATAGTGCCGGTCGCTTCTGGAAGAGCCATTCGCGATCTCCAGGTAAAGCTGTGCCTTCCAAGTTTTTCCACGGGTTTGAAGATAGTGTTGCACTGTTTGAAGTGGTCAGCGGCACCTTTTTGCCCTTAAGAATAGAAAAAGGAACACATGCATGCACAGGCACGTACACACACACACCAATGTGCCAGTTGGGCTTAGAAGTGCCTATTGCAGGAGAGGAGCTGGGCACCCTCAAAGGCAAGCTATGAAGAAGTTATAGCCAAATATTTGAAGTGATCCCACTGGAAGAGACCTCCCACCCCCCACATTCTACTTCCATTAGAATAGTCCTATGTGCATATCATTGAGGTGGTAAAATATTTAATTTCTAGGATGTGGCTTTGGGTTTAAGACAATCTCAGTAAGATGGCATCTTCTTAGCATTCTAAGTCCTGGACATTGAAGTTAAACTTTAGCGGGAGGACCCGAAGGTCACTCTTGTGTCCTCCAGGGCATTCAGTCATCACAGACACGTGGCCAGTCACGTTCACTGCCATAGACTAGAGCAGAGAGGTAGACTCAAAAACTACAAAATGATTTATTAACCATGGGTTAACGCCATCCGTAAAGTTATCACCTGGTTTCCTAAACAGCCGAGTTCACTGAAGTTTCTGTTAGGTACAACAGAAAATAACGTTGCAAAGGGCTGGAAAGAAGACTCAATTACCCATGACAAATAGGTAACCTGTACTTCATGCTTATGCCTCCCGTGTGATGGGACACCACACTAAGGATTTTACAGGTGAGGAAATAAGCGCAGACCAGGGTAAGTGGTGGTGGTGCAGACTGAATCCAAACCTGTCTGATTTCAGACACTCCTGGGCATAGTTACTGCCATTCAGGACATTATGTCTTCAGGAAGACAGAACAACTTCTTGAAGTCTGTCATCCGTTTCTCTGTAGTGAGAAGTGTCTAGCTAGCTTGTGAAAAGGCCTTGTGTCTGAGACGACAGGCGCTGATCTTTATAAAATGTCCCTCTCTACAAGTTTGTCAGTGGTGTGTTCCAAGGCAGAGTTACCAGAAGGAAGATCAGAAGGAAAGAGCGTGGGTCCCCGCTCTGAACACCTGGGACAGACTGTCTTCCAACTCCTAGTACCTGCACGAGGAGGCAGTGAGAATAGACCAGGACCAGAATGGCAGCAAGAGAACAGGTATGCAGGCGGTGCTGGGGCAGCAGCAGCCAACCAGTGTCCCAGAACCCCAGCATACACTGAACTCCCCGACGTGGAAAGAATCGTTACAGGTTTGTCACACATATTAGTAAAGGCTGCTGACCTTTGATTTGCAGTGATTCACTCAATGAGTATTTACTGAGGACCATGTAAGTCAGGTGCCAGGCCAGATGCCTGAGATACATCAGTGTATCTCAGATAAAGATCCTTGCTCTAACGGAGCTTACATTGGGGGAGGCAGGAAACTGATAAAACGTAGTCATTATAATAAATAATCTTACATGGTAATAGGTGCTCTAGATAAAGGAAAAAGTAGGGAAAGGGGATTAGAATTGCCAGACCAGCCTACATGTATTCAAGAAGTATTTATTAAGCACCTACTGTGTACCTGGGGGTGTAGTAGTAAATAAGATGGATGGGGTCACTGATTTAGATCTCTACTGAAACAGAAGTGAAGTAGCAGCAGACTAGGCTAACCAGCAGTGGGCTCAGGTGAGCCGGGACCAGGCGAGGACTGGTGCGGCAGGAGTTCGGAGGAGCTGCAAGTCAGTCACGAGGGTGGCAGAGAATGCCCAGTGCTGTCTAACTAACGGGATCCAAGTTTATTTCTTGCATCTACCGTCACCTGTAATTATTTGTTTACCTATCAGTTGGAAAAGGGCATTCCTGGGCAATTGAAAACAGGCCCCTGTAAGAACTCCACATGACCCTTCGATTCTAATTTCATAATACATGTTGCCATAGAAATGATAATATATAAAAATGTACATTTTTATTGTTCCAGTCTGGCAGAGCAGTGTAAATCTTTCATGCCGAATACAGTTTAGAAACTAGACAAGCTGAGGACACTGAAGAGTAAAAGCAGGTGCATTGTGGGAAAGCAACCAGACAGAGGAGTGAGGGTGAAATACAACCATTCTGAGGTGAAGAAACATTGGGAGTCCACTCCCAGCAGACTAGACTCACTCTACGGGAAATGCTACAGGAATTCTTCATACGGAAGGGAGATGATACCAGCAGAAAACTTGGATTTCTGGGAATGAAGAGCAGCAAATGGTAAATATCTAGATAAATATAAAAGAATTTCCCCTTCGTATTCTTTGAAGTATTTTGAAATACATATATATTGTTGAAAGAAAAAATTGTAACCCTTTCTGGTAAGGGTTTCAACGCAGTAAATTAACCCCTATGCCAGCTGTAGCATAAAGGTTGGGGTTCAAGAACCTATAGTTGTCAAGCTTCTGCATTTTACATGAAGTGGTACGATTTTTATTGTAAGCAGACTGAACAATTAGTCATGTGTGTTGTAACTCCAACTACTGAAAAAGAACACCAAAAGAGGTAATAATCAAATATCTGGTGAACTAAGATATTCAAATAACCCAAAAGGAGGTAGGAAAGGAAGAACAGAGGTATCAAGAGCGGGGCAAATAGAAAACGGAATAAAATGGTAAACCTAAATCTCACCAGTATTTAACTGCATTAAATAGTAACAGTCTCTATAAACAGTCGATGAAAAGGCAAAGATTAGTTGTCCTTGCATTCGTGAAGGGTCCAGCCTAACAGAGGAGATAAAAACACTACATAAAAAACTACATATACAGCCCCAACCAGGATGGCTCGGTTGGTTGGGCGTCATCCCACAAAGCGAAAGGCTGCCAGCCTGATTCCTGGTCAGGGCACGTGTCTGGGTTTTGGGTTCAGTCCCTGGGATGGGTTTTTTTGGAGGCAGCAGATTAGTGTTTCCCTCTCACAGTGATGTTTCTCTCCCTCTTTCTCCTTCCCTTCCCCTCTAAAAATACATAAATAAAATTAATGTATTCTGAACCTGCAGCATGTGCTTCCTACTGACGTGCCCTTGGGCAAGGTCATTTTTACTTCCAATTTAATAGGTGAAACATGGTATCCCATCGTTTCTAAGGTTACTGGTATATCTTTCCATGCGTATTATTCCTTTTATGTGAACTTTTTGTGCATACACTTCACCTTTTTCGGTGGGGTTGTTGACCTTTTCCAGAGTCCTTTATGAGTCTATACCTGTTTTAGACAAGGAAACAGACTGCTGTAACTCCTCATTCATCTTCAGACCATAACTAAAAAAGTACTGTGGTGAGCAAGATACAAGTCTCAAAGACAACAGTTCACAGAAAGAGTGAATGATTTTAAATACATAACTATAAAATTGTCACTTGTGTAAAGCTTGAGAAAACTGCCAAGGGTATAGCAAGAGTTACTCTGATACACCATTGCCGGGAATATAATCAGAATGATCTTTCTGGAGGATGGTTTGTCAGCATCAGCATTGAAACTGTGTATGTTCTTTGAACTGATTATTTCAATGCTATGAATTTACTCCACTAAATTACTTGCAAAAAACATTTTACACACAGAAAATGTCTGTTAAAGCACAGTTTGTAACAGCAAATAACAAGAAATATTATAATCACGGTAGGGAATTGGATTGGTTAATTATGAAAACTCCCATAAAATAGAGTGTTTGTTCAAAATGACATGAACTGGGCTGACCTGTTAACTGAAGATAAATGGCATGGAAGTACAACAGTTGGGGAAAGACAGAGCAAGACTATAATTTTTAAGGGTAAATATATAAATGTATACTGGTATCAGGATGTACATTTTCTTCTGAAAGAAAATTGGTCACTGTGGATGCAAAAGGGGAAAAGCATTGTCTTCCTATACTGTTTGCCTTGTCTGCAAGTAAATGTGTGCATTACTTTTCACATTTATTTTTAAGGTCGATGAGGTAGTTTTCTTTACAGCTTTTGTTTTGTAAAATAAAAACTTTATTTATTTTTAGAAAGGGGAACTGAGGTGGTGGGGGGGGGAGACAGGGAGAAAAACATCGATGGGCTGCCTCCTGCACACCCCCAACCAGGAACCTGGCCCGCAACCCAGGCATGTGCCTGACCAGGGATTGAACTGCAACCCTTTGGTTCACAGGCCAATGCTCAATCCACTGAGCTACACCAGCCAGGGAGAAAATATTTTAAAAATGAATTTTATAACCCTACAGTTAAAAAAATTACTCTCTACCTTATCTGCCCCCAGAGGTTACATGAGGCAACATTTGCAAGTGTTTCAGAGGAGTATAGCAGCGCAAGGTGGGACAGAGCCCAGCCTTGCCCCGCACCTGCCAGCTCTGATTCAGGATTCCTATCTCCACCACAGACCAGGTCAGTGATCAGACCTTCCAGGGCCTTCCTTTCCTTTTGGTGCATCAGCGGTTGTGGGTGACCCATCCACATCCCCCCTCCCTGGTACTGATCCTACGTGGATTGTGAGTTAGAGCAGAGAGAGGTACAGGCTGTTTCTTAGCAGACTGTCACGGTGTCTGCACCCAACTACACCAGGGGGGCCTCTTACAAAAAGCAAAGGTGCTTTCTGGGCAAGAAACCTTGGCTGAAGTTTTATGATTTTTAAAAACCCTCCAACTGAAATGAATGGTCGTTCCTGCTACAGTTCAATGGCATTTGTGTAAGTGCGGACTCTGTATGGTCCCTGGATCAAGTCCCGGTCATCTCGGCTGGTCCAGGAAAGGAGATATTCACCCTCTGGGGTCGTCTCTTGACTTTCCACATTTATGAAACTCCATATTCAAAAGGACAAAATACCTGGAGGCTCGGTTTGTCCACACAGGGTTTTATTTTTATTCAACTATAAGCAAACAGAAGAATTAACACAACATTCAGCAACTCCAGACCGGCTTTTGTTACACCAACAAACGGAGAGTGGTCAGTTTAAGACACAGACTTGGGGATTTGTGATAACCCCTCCCGCAGCCCCGCCGCTCATCCAGACGGCTGTGCCACAACAGGGAAGCGACGCTCCCTGTTGCCCTTTCCAGTACTGGTCTTTAAATGAGCTGGAGCAGAACACGGACACCTACCAACCAACCTGAGGTGTGCATACACTGGGGGTTAGTGGACACGCCAGCCCCTGGCTGCCTGGAGAGAGACAGGGCCGTGGAAACATCTCAGGATATGCCACCACGCACAATTCGGGATTTGAGCTCGCAAGGGCACAAGGAATCATTTGTTTGTTTTTTTAACCTCCCTTAAAGATTGTGTGGTGCTCTGCCCTATTACTGTAGACCTGTTCTTCTTACCAAAACTTTTTCCCCTTTAAATTCCGGCTTGCTCTTACGTGAACAATCTGATGACCACCTCCTAGTACCAAAATAGCCCCCAAACTGGAGTCCAATTTGATCAAAACATAAACCAGGTTGTGTGACCTGGTACCATGACAAAGGAAAGGCAGAAGGAAACGTCACCCTACACCACTATCTGCTCAGGTCTCGCCTGTGAGAATGGGAACCGGGAAGAGGAGAAATCTACATGCATCGCTGAACTTGAGAACACTGCTTGGGCCCCCCGGGGTGACACCTGTCTCCTGGCGTTCCCCTACTTCCCCGACAGCTGCTCGTAGAGCTTGGGCACATAGTCGTCCCACTCCGCCTGGTAGCACGTGCCGGCCACTGGGGACCCGAGGTGGTACTTTTTGCGGAAAGATGCCACCTTGAATTTGCCACGGTGGTCTCCAGACCGGTTGCTGAGAACGGGCTCGTCACACTTCAGCGGCCCGTCCTGCTCGTAAACCAGCCAGACGTAGCGGTGGAGGCCTGGGGGGAAAGGCAGAGGGAAGATATACACACGGCTAGGCATCTAAGGGAGACATCACCCATCTTCACAGAAACGTTGCCAATTTGGAGGGACCCGGACCACCCCATTCATAAGGACACTGAGAACCCAGGAGGAGTCAGGTCACTCACCTGCTGAAAATCATCCAGTGTCACTCCACTGCAATTAGTACAAAGTCCACACCCTTTAAGGACCTGCAGGATTCGGCCCCTGCCCACTCCTCCTACTGCTCTCCGCTCCCCGCTCACTGCACTCCGACTCTGGCCCGTCTCCGACAGGAGCTGATCACCGGCCGTTTCCCACCACTCCCACGAGAGTGCCCCTTCTCCTTCCGGCACAGTGACATGCCTATCTAAAATCCTTGCTTTTTAAGTTCACCGCCTCATTGGAGAGAGAGCCCCATAAAGCTCCAGTGTTTTTGTCTCATTGACCCTTATCACCCCAGAACCTACCTGACTCAGTGCCTGGCACACAGGAGGTGCTAAAAACTATGAGAAGTGGATGAAGGGCACCAGCCAATCACCAACCAGGTGTGCAACGCATCCCACCACAATCACACCTGCACAGGCTAAAGGGGAGCATTATCTTTCTACCACCAGGGCTTACTTCCCTGGAAGACAGGAGACGTGGTTGGAAGAAATGGCCCAACTCACTTCAACTAACTAAGTAGCAAAGACTGCCTGAAAATGAGCCAGCAGGTGCCCTATGAACCCCGCAGCATTAGGTACTGGACACAAACCGGTGCCATGAGTCGTGTCTCTAAGCTATTGAGACATCTGCACACCCACGTTTACTGCAGCATTGTCTACAGTGGTGAAGAGGTGGAAGTAACACAAACATCCATTGATAAATGCACGGGTAAACACAACATGGCATACACACACAATAAGTTATTATTCAGCCTTAAAAAAGATCCTGTTACATGCTACAACGTGGATAAGGTTTGATATGGAACCACATGAATCTCAGATGGGTCTTCTGAAACTTTTGTATATTGCTAATGAATGTAAAAATTTCCCGTCACTTAGGAGAACTCTTGGGTGATTTCTATGACCCAACCATTCGACTCATAGGTATTTACCCAAGAAAAATGAAAACCTGTGCCCACAAAACGACAAGAATGTGTACGGCAGCTTCAGTCGTAATATCCGAACACTGGAAACAGCCCAAATGTCCATTCACAGGAAAATGGCTACACAAATTGTGGTACATTTGCACAATGGAATACGACTAGCAATGAAGAGGAATGAATTCCTGATACAAACAACACACGGATGAATCCCTGACATTATCTCAAGTGAAAATGACCAATCACCAAAAACAAATGCATACCGTGTATCCTTTACATGAATACGAAAGTAATCTACGGAGTCAGGTGTCAGAAAATGGTTAGTGCTGGGAAAAGTCAACTTAAAAGTGTGTGTGCATCCACCAATATCCACTCTCTATACCCTTACAACCTGTGTTTTATTGCACGTAAATTACACCTTACTAAAAGAATATGAAGGAAAAGAAAAAAAAAGGCGAGTTCCTGAGGCTTTTTTTGTTAATGAGAACACAGCGCCTACTTGAGAGACTTGCTTTATTCTCCAATGTGTACTCCCATAATTAAACTGCCTCATTTCATAACTGCCCTAGAGAACTTAATAGATCCCTGAGAAAGATGTACCTTTACCGTCCTTTATGAATGCATGAGAGGGCCGAAGCCATCTGAAGCTTCTGGGATCTACAGGTAAGACAGGAGTCTATGGCCAACTGTCCTCCTCAGGGACCTTCTTGTACCTCTGCAGGCCAACTCGTGGCTGGACAATGCGCACAGAAGCTAGGGCGCTGCCACGCTCCACCACCCACTTCCTCCTTGTCCCACCATTAACCTGGGCAACACTCATCTAACTTGGTCTACATATATAACACAGTACAATACAACGTGTGAGTGTCTTCAACATCGTTCTTAAAGTCTTCCATATGTATGAAAGACACCACACTAGATATTCAAGAGAGAAGGAAGCTATAAAGAGACAAAGAAGCAAATTTTTAATAATTAATTTGGAAACCATGATCATTTCTGAGAGCTTTTATGGGAACTAAAAGCTCAAAGATCCCACAGGGCCAAGGCAGAACACGGAGCTTAGGTGGTTTAACTGTGTTCATGCCACGTGCAGCCCCTCTCTAGGAAGGTATTTCAAGCACACGTCTCCTCACAGACCTCCCTGGCTTACTAAAGGCATAAGAACTCAGAGGCAACGCTAACAGAGTCCATCTAACCAGAACCCAAGGTGCTAGCCTCCTGACAACTGCCTTGGAGGTGAACTTCACTGCCTGAAACCTCCACCAGGGTAAGGGCTCTCATAAATACAATAGCGCTCTAAGAATCAGACTAAAATTTGCAGCACATCAGGCCAATCCTAATGTGTACCCAGGCTCCCCTCCCGCCGCCCCCCAAAAGCAGCCTTTACTGACCTGTGCCCTTAGGAGGCCCAGAGCCCACATAGTCGGAGAGAACTGTACCACTGCCGATGTCGTTGCCCTTCATGTTGACCACCAGGAAGTGGTGCCATTCCCTGTGGGAGAACACAGGCCGGTCAACACCACAGGAAGTCAGCGCACACTCACTGCACCGCCAGCAAAGGGGCACGAGGCCCACGTTCCGTGCCAGGATACAGCGATGAAGCAGACAGTTCGCTTTCCTGGTCGTGCAAACCTCCGGGGTCTGCAGAAGGGAGGACCCAGCACCCCCCTCCCTCTGAGACGGACTAGAGCAGGGGCCAGCAAACTTTCTGTGAAGGGCCAGACGGTAAATGCGTTTGGCTTGGCCGTCCACACTCCCTGTCACCACACCTCCACTCCCTGGCTGGAGCGCGGACGCAGTCAGAGACAAGACGTACACAAGCTACCATGGCTGCGGCCCAGCAACCCTTGTTTCGTGGGCAATGAAATTTGAACTTCATTTAATTTTCAGATGTCACAAAGTATGCTTCTTTCCATCCCCCCCCTCCCCCCAATTCTTAAAAAATGTAAAAACTATTCTCAGTTCCTGGGGCTGTACAGAAACAGGCCTCGGGCGGATCTGGCTCTCAGCAATAGAGCTGCGAGCCAGATATTAGTGCAATATTAGCACAATAGTGTCTAGGCTCCTGCTCTGCGGAGCAGAGAGACCAGAAATGTGTGCTCAGGCTTAAGCATGCATGTGAACACCCCAAACCAAGTTCACCAGCACAGCACGTCCAGGGGAAGACTGACCCAGTGCAAGAAGCACCAGCTCCTATCTGGGTGACCTACAGTTCCCCAGCTTCCTCCAGCTTACCTATATTTGGGGTCCTTCCGGCTCGGAGCATCCGGGTCTGTCAAGACCAAGGTATAGAGTTTACTTGCATTAAGGCCATCCCATGCAATACTGGTGGGCCGGTTCTTAACCTGCAAGAAGGAAGCAGTTGAGTTAAAAAGCCAAAAAACGCTTAAGAAACCAAGGCTCAGGTTCCCAACAGAGTGGAGTATTAGTAAAAGCTAAAGTGTATTTATGCGACTGAGAGCCAGGCACTGAAGTTCAGTACACTCTTTACATTATTTATTTTCGTCCCAACAGTAATACTACAAGCTGGGTATCCTAGCGTGTTATTGCCAGAAAGAGTTGGGGTCAGGACTTCAACCCTAGTGCTGACTGAGCCCTCTTAACAATAACCTTACAAGATCTGGAATGACAGGGTCTCCAGATCTGGTGACCAGGAGGTCACCTGGGGCCTGTTAAAGTGAAATCGTAATTAACTGGACACTTAGAAGTGCACAGAAAACAAGAAGGCCAGACGTGGACAGTGAAAATGGAGAAAGGGAGACTGAGAAATGGGCACTTCATATTGACACCAAAACAATGAAAGTGTCACCGATAGCAGTTGTATTGACACCACTGTCGCGGAGCTTCCTGACCACCAACTCACAACGGTGTCAGGCACTCTGGTTTCTCCACTGTCAGCCTCCAGGACCTGGTCCCGCCTCCACCACCCGAGTCAGAGGTCAAGGCCCGCAGCCCTGGAGCCGACCAGCTGCGTAAGTCAGCACCACGTCCCTGACGGCTAAAACAAAGGAGTCCTTGCTGGGCACTGATAACCACCGGTTACATAATGCGTCGTATGTCCTCGGGTGGGGCGTTTGCTCCCCAAAATGAGACCTAAAATCCTGAGGCCAGAGGGGGATCTCTGGGGACACGCGGGCTACCAAAGCCAACTTGTTCCTGGGCATGGTCCCCTGCCTAGTTTCTGCCCTCACTCCGGGGAGCCTGCCTGTTTTTCCAGGCCTAGAACCCTGCCCCGGCCTATAAATCCTGGGAATGTGGATTAATTACTCCCGCAGGCCGCGCCCTGCCCCCAGGTACAGAATTCCCTGCGTTACTCTGGGCCCGCAGCATGGGCCCCAGGACCCCACTTCCTCAGTGGATCAGGCGCACGTGGACTGTAATGTCCGCCCCACCTCCGCCCAGTCGCTGGCCCGATGGCCTGCAGCCCCCCACCCCCACCCAGCCCTAGTGTACCTGGGTGGGCGTCAGCACTTTGCCCAGCTCGTCAACTTCCACCCCGCTGTACTTGACCTGCAGCGGGTGCTGCGGCCGCTCTTCCACTTCCTGCAGGCTCAAGGGCCCGGACCACTGGCCGATGTCCACCGGCATCGCGAGGCCGAGCAGGAGGGAGCACCACCAGGGAAACGCTGCAGACCAGGCGCGGGTCAACAGTACCGACTCAGAGCGGTACACAAACTGGCCAAAGGCCGCGCGAGCCCCCGCTGCAAGTGGAACGCATGCGCAGGTTCTACCGCCCATCCCCCCCATTCTGCTCTCTGATTGGTAGCGCGCGGTGGCTCGAGCTCCTTGGCCAATGCTGCTGGCTTTGCCTTTCTTTTTGCCTGGAGGGAATCTGCGACCCGTGGTCCCCGCGTTCCCGGGAGCCACGGCTCAGCTTCCAAGACAGTTTCAAGAAATGCAATTGAGCTGTCTTTGATTTTTTTTTCTTTTTTGTGTGATTCGTTGTACCAGTTTCTAAATTCAGAAATGCTAAGGCCCTGCTTTTCTACTGCATTTCCTAAAACAAGCTGGATTGTCCTAGCCTCACAGTGATTTCACGCATGCTCACTTGTTTCGGTAACTGCCCGGTGGAAGGGCGTGAGTGAACTTTTTAGCATTTTTCTCTAGGGACAGACACAGTGGTATTTGATTTTCAACTTCACAGCTTGGCCCCGGGCAACCTTCTCGGGAAATGGCTTTTTAAAACCATTATTATTCCTATTCTGTGGACACTGGGCTCTGCCCCTACCAAAACTGCTCTCAATGTGGCCACCAAATGCTTTCTTTTCGCTAAATATAATGGACACTAATTAATAGTCATCTGATTGGATCTTAGGACAGCCTTTGACATTAATAACTCCCCCAGGGAATAAAAAGTTGTCCATTTTCATTTCTTTTTTAAAAAATTATTTATTTATTTGTTTTTACAATTTTTAATTGTTTTTCAAGTACAGTTTTCTGCTCCCACCCCACCCCTCCCTTGTTATTGTCCACATGGCCTTTATCATTGTTCCTGTAAACCCCTCACCCATTTCCCTCTTATTCCCTTTCCTCTCCTTTCTTATCACTGTCAGCCTGTTCTCAATTTCAATGTCTTTGGCTGTACTTTGCTTACTTGTTTGTTTTGTTGATTAGGTTCCTGTTAATGGTGATATCATGTGGTATTTGTCTTTCATCTCTTGGCTTATTTCACTTAGCATAATGCTCTCCAGCTCCATCCAAGCTGTTGTGAAGGGTATAAGCTCCTTCTTTCTTTCTGCTGCGTAGAATGCCATTGTGTAAATGTACCATAGTTTTTTGATCCATTTATTTACCGATTGGCACTTGGGTTGCTTCCAGCACTTGGCTATTGTAAATTGTGCTGCTATGAACATTGGGGTGCATAGATTCTTTTGGATTGGTGTTTCAGGGTTCTTAGGATATAATCCTAGCTGGGTCAAAAGGCATTTCCATTTTTAGTTTTCTGAGAAAATTCCATACTGTTTTCCACAAAGGCTGCACAAGTCGGCAGTCCCACCAACAGTGCACTAGAGTTCCCTTTTCTCCACACCCTCTCCAACATTTGTTGCTTGTTGCTTTTTTTACGATGGCCATTCTGACTGGGGTGAAGTGGTATCTCATTGTGGTTTTAATTTACATCTCTCTGATGGCTAGCGATACTGAGCATCATTTCATATGTCTCTGGACCCTCTGTGTGTCCTCCTTGGAGAAGAGTCCTTTGCCCATTTTTTGGTTGGGTTGCTTATCTTCTTAGAGTGGAGTCGTGTGAGTTCTTTATATATTTTGGAGATCAAACCCTTGTCTGAAGTATCATTGGCAAATATGTTTTCCCATATGGTTGGTTCTCTTTTCATTTTAATGCTGTTTTCTTTAGCTGTTGTTGTTTTCATTTCTTACTAGGAAATAATTCAAGCTCATGGTAGAAAATTCAGAAAAAAAGTCAAAAAAGTAAAAAAAGTCATTTTTATTCCACTACTTGGATATAAACAGCATTAACCATTTTTAGTATATCTTTCCAATGATAAAACTAGGAGTATAGATACTATTCTGTTTATTCACAAAATAATTGCCTTATACTCTACCATTTTACCATATCTGTATTAAATCACCAGATATATGAACATATATATTTAAAGACTTGGTGGGTGGTAGTTTTTATGGAAATTTTATTAGATAGGGGCTAGCGAGGTGAAAGAATATGTATTTTATAGAGGTAAACCACAGCTACTTCAGTGTCTACTTAAGTCCCAGTTAGAAGCAACTTCTTCCAGACAAAGCACTGATATAATTATGGGTTCTTTCTATCGTTTGTTCTATAAATGCATTTTTTTGAGAACCTCTGAACCTCCTGCCCTGGTGGAATGCATAGACTCACAGTGGAGAGAAACAGTCATCAAATGACAGTCGATGGAGTAAAATTACAAACTGACAAACGCCAAGGACCGAGCGCAGGCCCAGGGTGTTGATGAGCCTCAGAGAGCACCAGAGTGGGCTCTGCAGCTTCCTCCCTGTGGGACCTCAGGAAAGCCACCCTCAGGCTCAGGGCAGGCTCAGGGATGATGCTCTGAGAAGATAGGTGATGCATGCAAAACCTCTTGGGAGAGGTGAAAAGAAATTCCAGATGTTTCTGCTCCTGGCTACGGTCTTGCCCCTTTCCTACCCCGACAAACAAAGGGGCAACAGGCCTATGAGATCTGCCTCTTTAATGCCCCTCCAAAGGAGCCACTTCTCCATGTCCCTCCTCCCAACCCCCCACTTTCCCAACGCTGTCTCTGGTAGTATTCTCCTTGGCCACTGCCTCCACTTTTGCTTTCCAGCCCATTCATCTTTCTCACATGGTAATCAGGTCAATGTATACCTCACCCCTCCCATTTTCCTGCAGCCCTCTCTGGCTCCCCATTGCCTCAGGGTGAAATCCAGAGCCTAGATTAGGCCCTGCGTACCTCTCCGACCCACCTTGCATTCTTTTCTCCCAAGGTTCTAAACTTGTTTCGGTCTGGTTTGTCTTTCTATCTCTGGGACTTTGCACATGCTGTTCCCTCTTCCGGGAACATCCTTCCCCTCATTCCCCTTTCCCCTCAACCCTCACTGTACTGTTACCCCAGTTCACCTGCACTCCCCTCAGAGATCGCTCACGCCTTCTCCCACCCATCGAGACCGGGAACATGCTCTGCTCTCTGCATCCACACCTGTTCTGTCCTTTCTCTTTCCTCATATTCAAAGCACTCGGGATTACAAGTTTATCATCTGAAACACACCACTGCCCATGTGGATATAGACTCCATGAGGGTTATCTCTTGTGTCCATGGGCTTATCCCTAGCACTTAAAATAGTGCCTGGCACACTTGGTACGTGGTAGTGTCACCAAGAAAATAAGTGAATTTTTCAAAACATCCTGTCAATTTTAGGTTCATATCACTAAAGCTTATTTTTTTTGTGTGAAAATGTCACCTTCCAAAAAAAGCCATTTCACCTGTAATTCCAATGTCAACAGCACCTCCTTAATTATCAGCAGTTGGAGAAAGCGGAACACCTTTCCTCTCACTGTTTATATTAAACAGCTCTCATTAAATGGCCGTGAGATAGTAGGTGCCATCCTACAAGCGAGGTGTTAAAAAAAGAAAACTATTTGGTCAGAAATGATGGCTGCAGCTTCATAGACAATGCTCAGAAAGAGATGTTTTAAAGACTTGCTTTGAGCTATTCTCTGCCATTAAGCACGGAAGCTCATTGGATATTTAGGAGGTGGGAGCAACTTTATGGAGAGCCTATGGGGTACAAGGTTCTTAACGTGTGTCGTTTAGCCACCTCAGCTGTCCTTGAAAGGCGGTGTTATTCTCCTCGCTGCGCAGGGAGTGATTGGGACCATCTGGATGTGTCTGCACCTTTCTCTGTCTCTGTTAACCCTGGGCTGCTCTCTGCCGTCTCCGCTGAGGAGAGAGACCTGGAACCGCTTCCACTAAAACAATGGTTGGAAACAACCAAACCCTGTCTCCTGGGTGCCGGCTGTGTGCAGGTCAGCATGCTCCGGTTCTGACCATTACTGCTCACCGAGGGCATGCTGTACGCATTCCAATAACATCCATACAGTTTATAAAGCACCCACTGAAGGAATGTATGTGCCAGTGACAACCGTTACCACTCACCGAGCACCTGCTGTGTGCAGGTCAGAGTGTTGCAGTGAAGAAAGCTCACGCTATTACCGCTGCCACGTGCCAGGCTGACCGGAGACCTTGACACTGAGACTTTCATTCCGTCCTCACACCAACCCAGTGTGGGAGGTCCCGCTATTATCCCTATTTTACAGATAAATAAGAAACTGGGGCTTGGAAAGTTATAGGTAGCAAAGCAGGATAAAAGTCTGCTTAGTTCCAAAGGCCAGATGCAAAGTTCTTAAGCACACCCTCAATAGGAGTGCTGGGAATAGAGGCCGTCACAGGCTCAGCCCTCCAGAAAGCTTCTCCCTAGTGACGGTGTTAAATGGTGAATCACCAGGTGACCCCACGTGGCGACCCTGAGAGCGCACCTCTCAGATGAGACTGGTGGGAGAGAAATCTGGCAGGGCCCCAGCTACTGTGCTCCGCTTGTAAGTCCAAGGCCACTCTGGCAGACCTGCTGACACCTTAGCTTCAGCCCAGTGAGACCCACTTCAGACTTCTGGCCTCTGGAAGACTAAGATAATAAATTGGTGTTGTTGTAGGCCACTGAGTTTGTGATAATTTGTTACAGCAGCAGTAGGAAACGAATACAGTATATGACGTATCCTAAGCCTCAGCCTCAGTTTCCCCCTCTCTAAAATGGGTTTACTAACACCCCTGAAATGATCACTGTGAACACCGAATGAAACACAGATGATGCGCTTCATGCACAGCCTGGCACCTCCAAGTGGGAGGTTATTACATGCCCATTGTATAAAACTCATAAACGTAAATAAGCAAACATAAAATTAACTGAAGACCTTTCATAAGCTTACCACCCCAAAGCAATGAATGTCTTGCTGTATTTCCCTCCAGATTTCCTTCAATGTATATAAATGTGAATATGCATGTATGAAAATATGTGCTATTCAGTACGAATTGGGTCCAATTATACATGTTGTATAATTTGCCTTTCTTCGCTTCCTCTTATTATATCTATAAATAAATTACTACAGCAATTTTTTTAAAGATTTCATTGATTTTTTTAGAGGAGAAAGTGAGGGAGAGAAACATTGATCACTTCCCCAACTGTGGACCTGGCCCACAACC